CTCAACCAAGTCAGCAGAGGAATCCAAAGTTATTTATTTGTTTTGGCTGCATGATGCTTACAGGGCTATCTAAATGCAAGTGTCAAACTCTCAGAGAAAGAATTCTTTAAATCTTACATTGTTACAAATAAAGAAAAAATGTAAATTGGTCCTTAAGATGGTTTTTGTTTGATGTGATCTCATCTGTGTGTAATTCAATCAGATGCCGAACATGTTATATATGACTAGTGTTCCCCATTATGATGCCTTCAGATATGTAAAAATTTTAACTTCATGCATAGCTAATCAGCACAGAATCCTATATATTTACGAGGGCAATTCGGAAATAAACATCTGTTTGGTTATCAGTGATAGACACTCGCAGATACAGAACTTTTATTATACACATTAGAAAACTACAACATTACATTACTTTTTGACATAATCGCCATTCAAATTGAGGCACTTGTCATAATGTCTTACACGGTTTGAAATTCCTTAGCAGTAGTCGCTCGGTGCCAAATCTGAGCGATAGGGGGTTGATCAAAAACATCCCAATGGAACTGCTTCAAAAGTTCTTGGATGCATCTAGTGGTGTGCAGGCGAGCATTATCGTGAAGCAACACCCCACTGGAAGTCAGCATGCCCCGACACTTGTTATGGATGGCTTGTCTGAGTTTTCATAACTTTTCACAGTATACTTCTGAATTGATGGCCAATCCACGCTCCATGAACTTTACTAGCAGTACTCTTTTGGCATCTTCACATTTGGCGGGATTTTCTATGGCACCACTTCCAGTGTGGTGTTAGTTCACGATAATGCTAAGGAATTTCAAACCTTGTAAGACGTTATGACAAGTGCCTCAATTTGAATGGCAATTATGTCAAAAAGTAATGTAATGTTGTAGTTTTCTACATGTGTATAATAAAAGTTCTGTATCTGCGAGTGTCTGTCATTGATAACCAAATGGGGGCTTATTTCTGAATTGCCCTTGTAGAAATGTCAGGTTGTAGAAGGGGGTTAATCTGATCTTCTCACTTACCCTTGCCCATGGCCAGTGAAGAGTTTACACATTAAACAGTTGTGCAAATCTGGTTTTTGAAAAAATATAAACAGACTGAAAGTAAAGCGAGAGGTATAATTCTATTTTAGCTCATCAAACTTTTGTTACATACATATTCTGAACCTGTATGAAAAACCAGTATGATATTTAAGCCTATAGCATTTATTAGTGCTATAACATTAAACTACCAGTTTCTTATTATTTACATTGGTCCTCTAGTTTTTTTTCTATTCAATGCTGCTAGTTGTTTGTAATTTCCTCCTGGTCCCGAGAATATATGTCTAATAACAGTATCTAGGAAATTTTTAGCTTTCAAGATCCAGGTTCACACTCAACTTCAGGAATGAAAGCTTGCTGGATAACTTTGGACTAGTCAGTCTGTCTCAGCCCAAACTACCCCATAGGGTTGTTTTAGAAAATATGGAGGTGAAAGTTTATGTAGACCTCCTTGAGCTCCTGGAGGAAAGGGGGAAGATAAATTTAATAAATAATTAAATGCAATTATTCAGTTGACTCCTTGTAGTTTTATTTATGAAAGCAGGCAAGCATTGTTCAACCTGGGAATACAAGGTTTCAAAAGTCGTTTCAAAAGTAGCATGAGTCTGAAATTTTCTTGTGACAGAGGGGGAAAAACCATGCCTATTGGTAGCAATTGTATAAATTGCATTTGATTTTGTTTTAGTTCAAATTTAGATTTGGCCCTGGCAACATTCACTTGTCTATATTGGCTCAACCTCTAAAATCACCTAAACCAATAAACGCATTCATTTAAATTACATACTTGAGGCAAATGTACAAATTTGCTTCTGCTTGCTTGTTTGGATAAACCTGTTCTGTACATGTTTGTGTTTTTCCTTTATCCTCCATACCTCAAGCTACACAAGTGCTGACTCATTCATTTCAGAATATAGATATGTTTATAGTCCATATGATTTCAGTGCCCTGAAATCTACATCAGTGTGTTCATCACGCCATGAATCATTAAGCCGCTATGTCCCAACAAGGCAGTCCTCTGGTGGAAATGATCCTATAATGGCCAAAGAATGAGCATACCTCAGCTGTGGATGGCCAACATTTTTATGGTCATGAATGGAAGTTGATAGTTCTAGCATCTATGCCTGTTTAATTATACAAGCTGTTTTTGAAACTGAGTCTCTTTCCTTTGCTAGAAAGTCACCAAATACTGACAAAACTCTTGGTTGTAAAAAAGAGAAAAAGAACTGCTTTATTTCTCCCTGGTTGCCAAGGTACTGCCAAATAACTGAAGATCTAAGGCACAGATCCAAAAAGCAAAAGATATTAAAATACACACAAGGAAATATCTAAGTATTTTCAAATTTACAGTGTTTGAATGCATTTAGTTTTCACCTAAATAAATAAAAAGACTGCCTCTGAATTTGCAGAAAACACCTTTTATTTTTGTTCCTAAGCAGTTACAATCGTATCTTCCTTCCAAAGATGGCAGAACTTCCATACAGATGATGTCTCAGCATTCCACTGTTACCGATTAAGCACTGACTCATTTTTGTCAAATAAAATATATTCATAATACATAAAAATAAGGGTCCCCTAGACATAACATTCTCATTTGACTTTCCTTCTTTCTGCAATGCTTTGTAAATAGACTCTCTCTCTGTTCTCTATTTTTATCTTAATTAACTTGACTTCATTGGAAACTCTTTCATTAGTAACTCTATAATATTAAGCATAAATATCTGGAAAGTATCACTGGGTACCAGCAAAGCATTTTTACCCATGCCACATACAGTACTGCAAATAGCTGCCTTTTCTTCCTTACCCACAAAATCAATCACTAATACCAGCAATTTGTTTTGAAGATAAAATCAAAGGGACAAAAAAGAACATGACCTAGTACACAAAACTAGACACAAACTCATGCCAGCTAGACATATAAAATGGGGTGAGCAACTGATTGCAAATAATGCTTTCAGCTGAAGGTTTACTTAATAATTATAGAAGGTAGAGTGTTTGTGGGGATGCTAGTACTTTTTTTCCTTTTAAACTTTAAAAAAGTCCTTGCTTTTAAAAATGTAAAAACTTTCTACTCAAAGTTCTCAGAGTCATGGCTCTAAAAAGGCCCAATTCTGCAGCATTCTGGGAGAAGCAACACCCATTATGTTGCCAAAATGATTTTATGGAGCTTCTGGAGAAGAAACATTGAAGTTGAAGAGAGTAAATTCATTTGCCATGCAAAATATCATTATTTCATGTGAAACTCTGCCCCATGATAAACAACATTTTGCTCTAAACAAATATACATCACTATGCATTCCTTTCAATATATACCCTCATGTGCATCTTTTTCTATCAAGGAATGCACTGAGCAAGAACCAGTAATCCAATAGACACCTACAAGCAGATCATGGTCTATTGACTACGGTACTGGTGTCCAAACTGGGTGTGTTCACATGACATATTTATCCAAGGCAAGTTGGGTACAATTTATCTAATAAACTCAGTATTCAGAATTTGCACAGCACCCTGAACCATAAACTAACTGTTGGATTGGACAGACACTCATAATATTCTAGGGTAAAATGTGGTGGGCTCATTTAAGTTTTAATATGGTGTTATCTGGCTTCCTGCCATTAGCAGCAAGAATCCAACCCCCCAAGTTGATCGGGGTAACTGATCAGATAGAGTAATTGTTTTATATTTTTCACAAGACAGAAAGATAAAGGAGAAACAAATAAGATGGGAGAGTAGCTTCATAAAGACAGAAGGAAAGGATTCATCCCAGCTCAGAACTGGTATGTGCATTGTTGTTAGTTGCGAAGTTGTGTTCGACCCATCGCGACCCCATGGACAGTGTTCCTCCAGGCCTTCCTGTTCTCTACCATCTACCTCTACCATCTTCTGGAGTCTATGCTAGTTGGGAATTCTGGGAACTAAACTCCAATAGACCTGGAGCATATCAAGTGATGGAAAACTGCAAAACTCTTTGCCAAATTTGTCTCTTGTCCTGAAAGAGAACTTTAATGCTACCTTTATGCAAGTTTGCAACAGCAGGCAGAGTGATGAGGCTTTGCCCAAACTTTCTAATACAAAGCTGCTTGGTCTACCCTGGTTCTCATCACTACAAAATGATGGTTGAGGCACCAGGCTATAAACTGGGAGACCTAAGTTTTAGTCCTGCCTAAAACATGAAAGATGGCCGGGTGATTTGGGGCCAGTCATTCTCTCTTTTTTAAAAAAGTAGCTCCACAGAACTGAACCATTGGCTTTTTAAATTGCCCCTGCCTATTTGTTCTGTAATATAAGTCAGAATTATTTTGACCTTCGTGTTACAGATGATTGACTGATAGATTTATATAGTGATTAAAGTGATTTGTATCGTCCCCCCCCCCCAAATTGCAATTCTGGAGATCTATTTTTTAATGAATTTTTTATTACATTTTTACAAAGAACATGAAAAGCCGCACAAACTAATAGAGTAAAAGCAGTAAAGAAAAAAAGGGGGGGAAAGCAAAAGGGCAGAAAGAAAGAATAAAAGGAAGTGCAGTACAAAGAAGCAGCTTCCAATTTCCGTTGCAGCACATATCAATACAACTACAAAATTATCTCTCCGTCTACAGAGTACAAGGGATTCTGGACAACCATTGTAGGATTGAAACCCATTGAGAATCAGGCAAAATTAAACAATGAATAACATGAAGAAAACCAGTCCAGGGAACTGGCTGATGATGCCACCTGAACAGCAGGCTCTTCTCTGCACATGGCCCACTTCCTTACTTGTTTGTGCTCCTGGACATTCCTTCTCTGCCTGGAAGCCTGTGTCACCTTCCTCTACCTCGTGTTGCTGTTCTGCCAGCTGGTTATAGGCTGCCTTCTCCTCCTCTGCGCTCAGAGCATGAGGCTGTGAGCTCAGTCACTAGGTCCCTCCCAGGAGGTACAAGCTGGGAGGATTCCCAACAGCCGAACTTCAGGCTTCTTTCTAGCTATTCTCAGAGTGTGAGCCTGGCTCACAGCATCCAGGCTGCAGGCTCCCTCCTTCGCACAACTTGGTGAGTTGGCATGTTTTCCCCGTTTGCTTCTGCCCTCGCTTCTTGCTAATCAGAGATGTAAATCTTGCTTTCCGTTGGGGCACCTGAGGCAGTGCCCGTGCTTCTTTTCATTGACTTGATTGATTCTTTTTATTCATTGACTGATTTTGTCCTGAAGTCATTTCATACTGTAAAATACATTTTCTGCTGAGGAGAGAAGCATGGGAAGAATTTATGCTTTGAAGCACCACAGCACTTGAAATTATAGGTGAACTATAGGATTTAACTTTTAAATTATAGGATTTAACTTTTACATCTACTGTTATATTGGTTACATACAATGTTGACATCATGCCTGAAACTTCACAATTCAGATATTGTGGGTGTACATTACACGTGCACAAGTGCACGTGTAGAATTGCTATGAAGAATTTTGAAAATACACATTATACATACAAATTAGAATGTCGCAAACAATTCTTAACTGTTCACACTGATATAGTAATTCTTTACAATATTATATCCACTTGTTTGTAAATATTTTTAAAAAGATGAGATTACATTGTATGTAGAGACTGAAGCCTTATATTAAAAAGACCATATGGCATTTTTCTTTCTTTCTTAATCCACGTAGGTAGATAGCCTATCCTTTTAAATACCATTTGATATAAAGATCCACAACTGCTCTTAATGTGCATATTGCATATTATTTGGGGAAAGGGGGGCAGAAATAAGATTTTTGTGGCATGTCTCCTCTCAGTGGAAAGCTGATTGCTTTTTCCAAAATGTTAGCACCTCCAATACATCTGTTAACATTCAAGGAAGATGGAGTAATTTGACACTAATCAGTTGTAATTATATAGACCTAAGAGTGATTGTATGGGCAGCCTGCAAACTTACATGTGCTCATGCATACTGTAGAATAGATATTAGGTGTGTCTGTCTTCCTCAAAGTCTTGTTCTCCAGATGTGCTTACTATTCCCCCCTCCCCAAGTTTCGCAGGCAAAGGCCATACTAAGCCAAACATTTAGGGAGTTATAATCCCAATACATTTGGGAGTGCTAAATTGAGGAAGGCTATTCTAAGCTGATATCTCTTGTCATTCTCCTGCAACTACACACAAAAAGCTTCCCCAGAAAAATACCCCCAGCCTAATCAATTTAACAAACTTGTGCTCATGAGCCCATATATGCACACACACACAGAGAGAGTACAAAAAATAATCAAGAACTACAACTGAAAAGAAACCAGGTATACATATGGCAAGCAGATCTGAGCAATTTTTTTAGAAACTGAAAACAATGACAGAATCAGTTGCAGGTCTGAATCCAACCCAATTATTTACACTAACAAAAGCCCATTTTTTAACAAACAAATATCATTCAGTACAAACATGAGCTACTGTGGCCTTCCAGATTTCGCTTAACTACAGCTCCCAGCATGTTACGGTGATTTTGGCTAGGTCTGCTGTATTACATACAGTCCCTTCAGGCTGCTTTTGGATGGATTAGAATAAGAGGAAAATATTTTTTTTAACATTGGGATAGTTAGGATATCTTAAAGCAGTGGTTCCCAACCTTTTCTATACCCTGCACCCCTAGAACGCTTCTGAAATATTCTCGCATCCCTTACAAAAGTTCAAAATAACGGCAATGAATTATGCATATACACTATAATTTTGAAAAGCCAAGTTTTTGCACCCCCTGGAATATTGTTTCGAACCCCCAGGGGGTGCTAGCACCACTGGTTGGGAACCCCTGTCTTAAAGCCATGTCAGTCATGGGCTAGGAATATAATGTAGGTAATATCATGGGATCATGGCATAAAAAAGATATTGCCAATGCATGTTTGTGCCGTGATTAGGTGAGATAGAGGCATGGCCAAATATCTGGACATCTGATCTAGAAGTAGGATATATTTGTTTTGTATTAGCACTGTAATTTTCTAGAAAAGATTGGGCAGGCGCAGAGGAAATTTCCATTAAACATGTCCTGAAAAATTAAAGAATAATAGTCACATGAAAATAAACAAAAAATTCTGAAATCTATTTTTTGCAGTAAAAAGTAATTCTTAATCACTATCTCATCCTACGATTCCAGGATATCATAAACAAAAACAAAGAAAACCCAAAATGTGCCACAAATGTAATATAAAACATAAACCAAACATAATCATCATCTTCATCTAAAACAAAAAGTGCCAGAAATTCCATGTTTCTGAAACACTGTGGGTCAGTTTTTGTGGTTCTTACTGGTTGTTAGTATGTTAATGCAGTAGTCACCAGATTTCTGAATGTTTTAGACACACTACATTTTGGGGAAATTAAACACACTTGGAAGCCTGGATTATCAGCAGAGGGCCTGGAAATAGGTGCACAATCATATCAGACCTGACCAGATACTGTGCATGACTCCATGGTCTCCAACTGCATGAAGAACTATCCCTACGGCGCCATTCAGAAATTAATTATATGGGTATTGAGAATGAAGGGTGGAGCCAGCAGAGCAATCCACTGTTCATTTTCCCCACTAGAACTCCTAATTGCAATAAAATTATCTGCCTAAAATTATCTGCCTACAGCACACATTATCTGCCTATTGAATGAAGTCATTTCATTCTCATGCTTCTAATTTTCATACCTAAGAAGTTAATTCATAAAAAGGAAATGGTGTTAACCTTTCATATCTCTTCCTACAAGGTTCTTGCTTTGAATTTAAAACCAAATTCAATCATCAGTTATTCAGTGTTACAAAATGGGTATCATGTAGCTTAACTAAAATTTAGGAAATGCCTAAACAACCAGGGAAGATAGCAATCTCTCTATTATTGGTTCCCTTTTTCCTTTTACTAATTTCTAACACATAATGAAGCCGAGTAATTTTAGTGTACCAGTATTGATGAGGGAAATGCTTATCATATTCTTATGAAAAGTATGAGTTAGAAGGTAATAACAATAGCAATAGCACTTATATACTGCTTCATAGTGCTTTACAGTCCTCTCTGAGCAGTTTACAGAGTCACCGTATTGCCCCCAACAATATGAGTCATCATTTTAGCCACCTCAGAAGGATGGAAGACTGAGTCAACCTTGAGCCGATGAGAATCGAACTGCTGGCAGTCAGTAGAATTAGTGTGCAGTACTGCATTCTAACCACTGTGCCACCACAGCACATAAATTATAATTATAATAACCACTAAAGTACAGTAGATACTGAGAAACAAGGCAATATATGTCATTGTCTCTATTGTTAAGCATATTATCAATTGCTTCATTATTTTTTTACATGAAATATCTTTCGGTACAAATAATGACAATATTGGGAGGGGGATGTTTGGCCCATGGTTCATAAGATTCATTCAGATGAAATAAAGATCTGAAGCATACACAGTTCAAGAACCAATCCCAAATTTTTAAAAAGAAAGTCAGTTTGAAGACAGTATTAAATATATGCTATAATTTTCATGCATTCTTTTTAACTATCTTTTTTCAAACTTCTCTAAATCTTGTAGAAACAGCTGCATCCTTCATGACACAATGGCAATGCTGTCCAACAACACAGACTTAACCTTGTTCCTCTCAAAATTGCTAGAAGACTACATAGAGAAGAAAAACCACCCCACGCCTGCACCCTTCATTGATTCTAGTGACCATCTGGAAGTAGTGTTTATACTTCTCCTGCTTGGATTTTTTGGATTCATCACCTTTGGGGTCATGATCAGCTATATCCGCTCCAAAAAGCTGGAACATTCCAATGACCCTTACAATATCTACATTGCCACTGATCTCTGGCAGAAGAGGGACAAAGCCTACTTGCAGGCCAAAGTAGTAGAAAATTATAAATCATGTAGTATATGGGAAAATGAGCATGCTGTCGAACAACCTACTAATCATATCCCTGAAGTGAAATCTTAATAACAAGATGGTCGGCCTGTTTTAGAGACATTGTGCTGTCCCTTCAAAAGTACCAAAGAGACAACAGTTGGACAAACATTTCAAAAGCAAAGGGATAAAACCTACAACCTCTGTTATTACCTCCCTTGAACTGGTGCCACACTAATGTGTTGGATGACATCTTCCAGCAATTCCTGACCAATATGTGCTTACTGTGTAGTAGAAGGAATTGTTATCTGAAGAGCTCATCATGATGCACCATGTTGGGAAAGGCAGCTGTTCTAACCTAAACAGTAAAAAATTGGAGGTATTTGTAGGCTATGATCTATCCCAGCATAGTTTTTCCACCTCGAAAATCTGATTGTACTATGAATAGATCCTTGTTCTAGACTTCATTCTTTTTTTACAAAACAACAAGCATAAAAATGTTGCTTCAGTTTCACATTTTGCAGGTATCTCCATTTCACTAACAGAAAACATGAAGCTGATTCATAAGAGATGGAGGAAGAGTAATACAGTTTAAATATGTCATATAATTTCTTTGTGTATAATATAGATCGTCCAAATGGATATGGCTGGGGACAGATTTGTTTAAATTTAGGAAATATTTTTTTTAAATTTAGGATTTTTTAAAAAAAATAGGAAATAATCAGAAACAGCCATTATCAACTGTTCAGTTTCACAAAATATGAATTTACAGAGAGAAATGTAGAGAGGAGAGAGGGAGAAAGAGCTATACTTAAACTTAGCTACATGATATAGCTAAAAGCACTTCTAACACCAATGTTGGACACCATTTGGTGATCAATTCTGGCCCTCATTGATCTCATGATATTTGGAGAGCTCAGGCAATTAATTCTGACTTTTGTCCTTTAAATCTCAGTGGTTTGCAAATCTTGTAGATGATCTGCTTTGCCACTGGGATGACCTCTTGCTTCAATCTGGTCCATAGGCCCCATTTAAGCCAGTCCTTACTCTCCCTTCCCCCAAGGTTCACATCCAATTCCTGGAGCTTCTCTTTCTCTCTATGCATTGCTTGGAATCTATTCCTTTTCTTACAATCCAAACAGAAAAGCAATATAAATATACATAGCTGCTTAGAGTCACTCACTAGGTGAATTTAATAAATAAATAAATATGATTTTATATATGATAAACATTTCACCGATAGATTTCTTATGAAATCAGTAGAGTGCAATTTTCCAAAAATCACTGTGCATCTTTCTCCAAGCCTATCAGTTACTGATCAACCTTTTTTAATGACAATTCACTGATTCTTGTTTTAATTTGTATGATTTTGCCAATTTTCCTTGAATAAGTGATTTCTATTGAAGGAGTTTGTAATTTCTGGTTATTATATAACTTCTGTAGTATTTCAAACAAATGGTTTATTTTACTGTGTTTTTATACAATATCCTCTATTGAGGAACAATTGATTGGGAATTGGTAAATAATGATATTGGAATATATCATTAAGGCTGCCAAATGACCAGAAAAATGGGCTAGTTAGTTCTTAAGTCTTGATTTTAGAAATCAGCAAGTAATTAGTATAGATATAAATGCTTTCAAATAATTGGAACTTCAATTTCAACTTCAATCTTTTTATGTACATAAGTGATTGTAATTAGTCTATACATTTGTAATTTTTCATCACAAAATGTAATAAAAATGCTAATCTCACACATGTTGCATATTGCCCAGTATATATAGCCAATTCATGACAAACTTACTTTGGTTGTATCATCTTCCCAGAAATAATCTTCCCCTTGCTACTTCTTTGAATTTCACCAGGTTTCTCTTGGTATAGCAGCTTATCGCCATCAGAATAAAGTTTCAGAAAAATCTATTTTGTGTCCTCTGTTTTCTAACTGCTAGAATAAATGAACGTTCGATATTTCATCCACTTAAAACAGTTCTCCATACTTTAGCCACCTATCAGTCCTTTTTGGTATGAAGGGGGGGGGAAAGCTAGCTGATCATTACCCAAAGAATTTTGGGGCTGAATCTGGATCTTGTCTCATCTCCAAGCCAAGATCCCCAACTTGGTGCCCCTCAATTCTGTTGCCTACAGCTCCCATACCTATTTCAGCTGGGGAAAATGAGATTGTAGTTCAATACGATTAGGAATATTCTAGGGTCATGCATCAAATGATAAGAAAGTGTTTATAAGAAAATAGCAGCCAATTCAAAAAATTAATGTAATTAATATAACAAATTGTCAATGGAACCTGACTTTTGTTACATCCTGTATTATACAGAGCCTTGTTTTCATCATCCATTCAAAACAATCACATTTATACAACTGTAGTTTGTCAAATGAATGAAGTAATGCATTAGTGTGCTTGCTTCTTTATCAATTCATACAATTGACTTGGTAAAACACAGGATAACAAGTGTTTTATTTTAAAGAGAATTCTAACATAACTTTATTAATATTAATCACATTTTGTGTTCACTTAAGTCCCTCAAGACCTGGATATGCTACTAGGCCTGGGGGTCCAGAGACTGGGAAGATTTTGCAGTGGCTCCCTTACTGTAGTTAATATCATCGTTTCTTCTTTTGTGTACCTTTTAATAGTTTTAACTGTGCTTTTTAAAAATGTATTTATTTATTTTAGTTAAGTGTTGCACACCACCCAGAATCAATCCCTTTAAGATGGGCAGCTATATAAATATGATAAACAAACAAACAAATAATATATAATCTGGAAAAGTGAGATATTTTCCAAAGTAAGTATCATGTTTAAGCATGACTCAAAATATATATTAGAAACAATTTAATTTCTACATTTTATATTTCCCAATGAAATTACTCACTGGTTGTTGTTTTTTTTCATGCCGCAAAAGCCATCCATCCTGTTTGTAAAAATTGTAAAATTGCTACCTGGGATAGATTTACCACATTTAAACTGAAGTTCTTGCTTAAACCTGCACTGTTTTCTAGGGATCATCACTAAAGGGTTTAGTCTAATATGGGAACCTGGACACTGAGTCATTGATGAGAAGTTCCATTAACATTTCTTTCATGTTTTACGGAACCAGAGGACAGACTAGAGTCCTAAATATTATGCTTAACCATATTCTTGTTTGAAATAATACTAAGTATGAAATCTTTTGGTACTGAGTGCTTTCTGTTTGGCCAATTCATTCTGTCACTATCTGCATTTAAAAAAGTAATATTCTCACCAACATTTATTTTTTTTAATTCCTAATGCAGATTTTAAGAAACCTAAGGTCTTAATATTGTACCATGATATTCAAGTACTCACATTGGTCAATTATAATAATATACGCTTTCAAGAGATTTTAAATTTTTTTATAACAGCATATGCCCAGAATGTAAGAAAAACATGAAACACATCGGGATTCATTTCTTCAAATTTGCAAAATAAAAAATGGGTTTCATTTTGTGTGAGCACCATCTGCTGGTGGTATTGATTGTGTGAAAAGGCAACTGCCGAATGTAACATCATCATTATCATCCAAGCTGCTGGTAACAGATGTTTATTTATCCGTTCACTTATTTCAATGTATATGGTTGCCCATTAATAACTCTGGGCAGTTAATTTAAAGCTAAATTTTAGAAAAACAATAACAATAATTATAAATGTACATGTAGTAGCAGCTGAGGTCAACAACAATCACTACAAATAACATCCATTTTATGGGCTCCATTGACCTCCCAATCCCCAAACCCAGGAAAATAGCCAAAGTCTTTCTCAAATGCTGGTGGAGTTCTGGCCTGCTGAATCTTGGGATTATGGTGTTCCAGAAAAACAGGCACTGCAACAGAAAAGGCCTGCTTCCTAAATCCCACCAAGTGACATTCCTTGATAAACAAGAATTGAACCGATACATAGGAGGGGAGCTGAATTTCTTTCTGATATAGGAGTCATAACTAGATAAACCTTTCCCACAGACATGTTTGAGTAGTCATTGACCTTAGTAAAACGTATTTTAATAATGCCGTGTCACTGAAAATATCACCTATGAAAAAGCAATGTGCAATGTACAGCTTGGAAAAAGTCATATTTTTCTTTGAGTTCTGAACTCAAAGGGAATAACCAGAATTTTAATTCTTACGTAGAAAAATTAGGTTACATATCAGTCAGGAAGCTAAATTGGGACTTTCTTGTATTTCCAGAAAATGTCTGACTTGATCTAGTTATAATAAAGTCTGTTACACAATTGATCACATGACATAATCACATTATCCATATTACAATGTACATGCTAGGACCTTCTTTTGGGGAGGAAGAGATCTCAGCAGGCCTTCTTAAAATACCATGGTCAGAGGTCTTTGCTATATAGTGTGTGCTGGACCATCCCATAGTACTAAAATCAATGGACTTGTGCTCCTGATGGATTCCCCCCCCCCTTTCATCCCTTCATGAAGGAAAGAACAAACAAGAAAGAACAAACAAGAACAAACAAGCAGTGAAAAGGCAGAAGCACTGAAAACTTGCAGGATTTTAGATATTTGTTCTTTTACAGGTATATGTTAAACATGTATGGAGGCAAACAATATACATTTAGCAGACTAACATCTTTAGAAATATGTACCCCAAAGTGCTTTGTCTCTATCCTTGCCAAAAACTCTAGGTTTATCATGCAGCCACAGCCAACCATATATTAGTGTATCTGATGCTTCACAGAACACATGAAGGTTCCAGTCTCAGAGCTAAAGAAGATGGAATAGGAAGTGAAGATGAGGTTAATTGGATAGAGCAAAATGGAGTTGTTTCATGCAGCCAATTAGATCTAGTTCTCTTGGGAGTATATATTCATAGCTAGATGGGCTCTCCCTGGTATCATGGCTGAATGGAGCCAGCATTTCTTCCTGTTGCATAAATGTATTATAATGCCATCCATGCTGCTGCACCATCCTGTAGGATGCCATCAGCCCCTGCCCTTCCTCCCCCATTCTTATTAATCTTACAGATTCTCTGCATCTTTCCCACCCTAGTCAACAGAATGCAACTGAGCTCATACGTGTGGAACCTTGTCCAAATCAATTCCTTCTCTTTACCTGGGTGGAAAGGGTGCTATCATTGAAGTTCTTGTGGCCTCTCCCATTGAAAACACTCCCCAGCCATTTCCTAACAATCCGCTCACATTGAGGAAGCATATGGTAATTATTTTGAATTACTGAAATGCAATTTGCCTGCCAAAAGAAATGGCCAGCATGCCAAAAACTGAAAAAGAAGTGCCTTCAGAGAAGGATATTATTCTATTTCTGAAACTTACCTTTAGTGAACTATTAGGTTACCTGCTAATTCTTAGCCCCTTTTTCTACAATCAGGATTTATCAGTTTTCGATAAAAGAAAAAAACTGATTAAGAATAATTATTCTTAAGAGCAAAAATAATTACCATTCTGAACAATGACTGTTGTAACTTGAGGATAGAAATGAACTTGTCTGGGATCTATTGGAGGATAACATTTTTACGTTCCATTAAAACAGCTGCCATTACAGAGAAGGGAAACAAACAGTGGGTCTCATGAAAAAATAGTCCTTGGAACTTTCCGAATCTAGAACAGATTTAAAAAAATATTTTTTCTTGAAAATATTTCTTGTGGCTTCTTCTGAAGGCAAGCTGATATCTGAAAAAGGAGCAAGCTAATCTGGAGTTTCTGAGAAATTCAGCATAGCCTTCTTGGGAGAACACATTATACCACCAATGCAGAGTATTACTTCTGAAAGTCCATTCTCCCTGATCAGATAGTATAATGTATAAATATGCAGGCAAGTTAAATCACATATTCCTCCAAAGTCAACAATTGCTTTTATTTGCATTTGCAGTTATGTTCAAACTTCAGGTAAGAAATCGAGACAATAACTGAAAAAAGAAACTTAGTGAAGGTTTGTGTTATGGCAAAGAAGCCAGGAAGTTCACGTTAATAAATCCAGATCTTGCAACAAGTAGGATCAGTCAGGTATTCTTCTATAATCACCTATTTCCTTGTCTGAAATTTTCATCCGGTGTTTTAATATTTAAAACAATAAATACTATTCTTTTGTTTCATAACTTTTGTATTTTTTTCTGTACCCAACTTCTCAGTGCAACATTGTGCAATACTTTATTTTCTTTATGTACTATGTTTCTTGAGTTTCTCAAGTCATTCCATTATAAAAAAATAACATTGGAAGACATATTTATTTTTGTAGTCTCTCTCTGTCTCTGTCTCTGCCTCTTGCAGTTTTGGCTTTGTTTTCTTTCCTTTTTTTTACCTTAATTATTAATTTCTGTTAGTTTTTAGTATCTTTTTAGCATAAACAAATTAGTAAGGTTATCTTTTAAAAAAGTTATTCCATATGGATGCAAATGTAAATGCATCTGATAATGTTAACTGTAGCTTATGATATAATAAGTATTTTAATCTTCCTGATGCCACGAAGCTTGCATTTTGCTATCTCTAAGACATTTACTTTATATTATCTTTGATATTTTTTTCCTTCTGTCAAATTTCTCCAATATCAAAAGATAAGAGGAAACCGGTTTCTTTATTAAAGTTATCTCTTATTGGGCATCTGAAAGAAACCTTTCTCTTCACACAGGTAAAATTCTTTACTTTTATTTTATTTTGGTTTTATGCTGTTTCTTATCTCGCTCAATATTTTAAAACTTAATAAACTTACTGTAAGTTAGAACCCGGGGCTGACTGAATTATTGTGCAGAGCCTAAATTATCTTTCCAAATTACACTCCTAATCATACATCCTTAATTTTAACTATACAAGTAGATAAGCATCACATCTGCTTCTGGTAATAGATTGCTCAGAGGAGAGTTGACAAAGAAGTGTTTCCTTCAATTAAGTAAGTCAAGAGTACAGCATAGGATTCTCACTCACCAAACCTAGGACAAGTGAAGTAAGTCATTTCTGTTCTTATTATTTGGGTTTTGGATTGATTGCAGAGCACAGGATGGGAAGGCAATCAAATACAATTATTATATATTTCAGCATTTCAGAAATTGTTTTCACTCTTGCCTAGTACCATTCCTCTGCCTTGAATTCAAATATAACATTTGTTGCTTTGAATAATTGTGAATAAAATACAAAAGGTTTGTCTTAACTGTTTTTATTCAGACTTTCAGATCAGGAATTTTTATTTCATAATCAGTGATTTCAGAAATTTCTAGACTGGGAGGCTCTACTCCTACCAAGAAAACGCACTGTCCAACTATAGGTCCATCATGACTTTTACACTGATTTGAACATAGCTCAGCAGAGATGTATTATGATCTGCAAAGTAGTTGACATCTTCAAGTTTTGAACTTTAGAGGAGACAATGAAAATACAAGGGTTAATTAATTATTCTTGGAAAGATTTGGTTCAGTTTAGACCAGTGGTTCTCAACCTTTTTAATGCCGTGACCCCAACCGGTCGTAAGTCGAGAACTAAACCGGTCATAAGTCGAGGACTAAACCGGTCATAAGTTGAGGACTAAACCGGTCATAAGTCGAGGACTACCCAACCGGTCGTAAGTCAAGGACTTTCCCTGCCCAGGAGCGCCGCGCATGCGTGGTTCTGCCCCCTGCACCGGCCGAGGCGTAGCTGGCAAGCGGCAGAGACAGAGCAGGCCGACCACCAGCTGGCCCAGCCCAAGGGAGGTAAGGCACCCACCGGAAAAGGGGAAAAAATGGCAGACAAAAAAAATGGTGGACAGCCTTGCTTGGCGACCCCCATGAAATGGTCAATCGACCCCAAATGGGGTCCCGACCCACAGGTTGAGAACCACTGGTTTAGACCACAAGTTTATGCAGGCATGAATGATCAAGTTGGTAATGTAATATTTTTAGTTACCTTTTAAGGCACTAATCAGGCTGATTGAAGGCCATATTTATTCCTAAAATGGCTACATCTCAAATAGATGTTAACACGCCCTTTCCCAGCTTTCCATATATTACCTACTATTTCCACATGACTAGTGTTTTGAAAATGTTTGTATTTTGAATGTGTATCAATATGACTTTTGACATAGATAGATATATGGTATTGTCTAACTTCTGTGAAATAATAAATGAGTTTTGAAATAACATATCTAATAAGGATTAAGTGGAGATTCTGTATGATTAAACAGAAAAATCTTAACACTGCAGAATTGGTTAACATTTTTGTAACCCAAGTTTTTTTTTTTAACAAAAGAGAAAAGATGGCAGAATTCATTGTTCTTTTTCCAGTTCACCAAGTGATTCACAAACCTAATGTCTCTGCATATATTGAACAGCATAGTGTAAATAAGACATTATCAGGTTTTCAGTCCTAGTCAGCAAAAAATCCATAGAGTTGCCAGAATATCATAAAAATATGGCTTATTTTAACCTTGATCAAATATAAACCAACTTTATATTTCTTTCTTTTATTTCCTAAAATCTTAATCTTTATTTTATTCAAATATTATTCTATGATTTGATCTCTCTTCAATTTTTCTTTGTCCCACTGCATGGGCTTCTTCAAGGCTTTAACAAATCTCTTTATAAATCCAATAATAAAGACACTGTCCAAGTCATTCTCATGGTTTATCATTTGCATTTCCCCTTTAATTTTTTAAATTTCAGCCAACTTTCTTTATATATCTAGTAAAGAGCCCTAATCTGAGTCATTCTTTTGGCCTGTCGCTTGTATTTCCCCTTTAAATACCTTTTCTATATTGAAATCCAGTTGTTTTATTCCAATATTACTGATTCCATTATTTCACATGTTATACTTTCATTAACATCCTTAGTCTATCCATAGAAACAGATATCGTTACTTGTGATTATTGTTGTTAATCATTTCTAGCCCCATTCTTCAAAGAGCTCTTTTAATATTTTAAAAGTTTTAGCATTTCATGACACTTTGTAAATTCCAAACTAAGACAAAACCACAGGTAAGGGTTTTTGGTTTTTTGCCTGCAATCCTTAGCCCCCTTTAAATTATACAGTCTCTATTCTATGTTATTAGTTTTGTTCAGAAATAAAAATAAACTCACCAGATGTCTTTTCAAATGTCATTCTGAAGATCTTTAATAGCCTTAAAGTAGTTAAACACTACTTTAGTGTTTAACTACTTTAGAAGGTACTTAGAAGGTTAGCAAATGAATTGTTGTTTAAAAGGTATTGATCCCTATGCCTCCCAGCATTCAAATCTGTGTAGGACCACTGCCCTGCAGTCTCCTTGCAAGGAGTGCCTGTTCAAAGTATATGTGGGTGATCTCCATCCTCTCCTTGTCCAGAGAGGTTCCACTGGTTCTTCAGTCTTTGCCATGGTTATTATCTCTTTTCTCCATGGAGACCTATTTAATTTCCCATGTCTCCACTGGAAATCTTTTCCTTGTTTCTGTTTCTAAATTCAAAGCAGTTACTTAATATTATAAATCTGAACTAAGAATGGTTGGATGTTGGTTGGTTGGATACACAATAATATTGAAACATTCAACTAGTTCATTACTAACTACATTTTTGATAGACTGTGCTCATTATGGCTCTTGGAGATATCAAGAATCAAATTGGGGAACTCTGTTCGGGCGAGGTATTTTAGTAACTCAGTCCTTCATTTAATGACTTACAAAATCATCAAAACAAGTTACAATTTATAAGGACTGGCCTTGTACTGTAGCTGAGATGAATTTATTGGCAATAAATAATGCCAATTGAAATATTTAGCTAAGGATGTCACAGTCAAGAATAAAAGCACAAACTCTACCACTCACATTCAGGGCAAAACACTGATGAAGCACTGATGTCATGTTCGTATGATCTTCTAGTTGGTGGTGACTAGGAGACATATATTGTAGGTAAAATTCCATAGTTGTCACAAAATTCTGGACAATAGATATATTATTGTTTGTAAAAAAATGAGGTTGATTTAACTGAAGCATGCAAAAAGCTGCTTAAGACACTTGTCCCACTTAATAATAATTGTTAATCTGCTGTTTCATAATGTTCAATGTCTTTATTATACAAATGCAAAATCCACAATAATGTAATGAACCCTAATCTATCCTCAGTTTATACTATCATCATCAACATGATGTGGGGAAAAAGTGGTGATAGGCTGAATTTATCTTGAAATTTAAAAATCTGAATGGTCAAATAAGGATCTATTAAAATGTTTTTAAATTTCAATTGGGATTGCTGCAAAATAGATAACTAAACTATGATTGATTTGTTTTTAGTAACTGTGATTTCCTATCAGAAACTATATCATTTAATCACCAAATCATAGATAACTAACCCATTGCTCAGCAGAAGCCCTAGCCAAAAGAATAATGGTTTGTGAGATTAAACAATCCAGATTTTTGTTTAGACAATCTGAATTGTTAAAACGAAGTACAGAATAATGTTGGCTCTCAGGGAAGATAGAAGGCATTATCATTCAGGAAAAAGAAATTGTTTAGGTTGTTGGAACTCTCATGGAAAATATCAGGGCTTGTATCAGCAAATACTATAATTTGTATTGTTAGTCATGAAATGGATGTATAAACAAAGTGGTGCAATGTACACTGATACTTGAGGGATATGCTAACACTTATGCATAGCAGATGCATAGCAGGAGAAGTGAGTAACAGGAAAGTGCATCACATCATTACTTCATCTCTGTCTCTTGCAGCAATGCTCCTTTCTTTCTTTTTCTCAGTATTTTGGTCTGAGGTATCAGTAAAAAACACGAACATATTCATTTACTCTGCGCAAATATAGACACCAAGGCTCAGAGAGCAGTGGTTCATTCAAATACTACTTTTCCTGTTAATGGCACTCAATCTCCAACTCATCACAGTGCTTGAAGATTTCCAATAGGCAGGAATCATTCTGTATCTGTTTCTAGAAAATAAAGCAAGACGTAACTTGCTTGTATCCTAAAATCCACCACTGAATTGTATTATTGGAAGGCTTTCTGCAAAACTTCCTCAAGCAATTCATAATTGAATTCACCTCATGGATGCTAGTAGGACTCATGCTTATGAGTAAGCATGCTTGGGATTCTAACTTCTGTCACATGACTTCCTTGAATATTTCTTAGAATGAAAGAGAAGCCACTCCTCCTTGCTTATGCTCTTGCCACACAAGGCAATTCAATTCTTGTCATAAGTATCTCTGTAAGGGCAGTTCTTCACACTTGACAGACTAGCATGAAATGTAAGTACTGTATATTACTGTACTTTGTTTTTTTTCCACATGCTCCTTTATTAGATTTATACTTAATCTGGATTTCTTTCACTCTCAAAAAGCAAAAAACACACACAAAAGAAATATGGTAACTTTTTCTTTCTTTTCTTTTGCTAGAGATCTTAAAAACAAAGATGTTCAAACATTATATTTATATGGAAAACAATCTAATTTTCTTCATTTAAAAAAACTGGGAATTTTTGACCATCTTTTGAAAGATTGTTGTTGTTTAGTCATTCAATTATGTCTAATTCTTCATGACAAAAGGACATGTCAGCAAGATAGTCTGTCAGTAACTATTTCTTTGTGTTCTTGGAAGTGCTTGTTTGTTTCACCAATTGTAGCATTGAACCACTTTGTCTTCTGAGCCCTCTTTTCAATTGCCTTCAGCTTTCCTATCATTAGCATGTTCTCCAGTGGCTGTTGCCTTCATTTCATGTGTCACAAAGACTTTTGTTTATTAATGTTTCCATTGTAGATTTTAGCTTCACCTACACCCACACTGAGACAGAGAGAGAGAAAGAGAGAGAGAGAGAGTGCAACAGGCTGCTTTTTGCACTTTTCTACTTTGAACAAGAGATTCCTTATGTCTTTCTTACTTACAGCCATCAAAGTGGTATCATCAGAATATCTGAGATTATTAATACATTGAATTGCTAATTTTAATTCTAATTTCTATTTCTTGTAGTTCTGCATTTGTCATTACATATTCCACATATAAATTAAATAAATGCACTGAAACTATATAAACTTGGTAAATTCTTAAATAAATCTTTCCTATTCAATCCTTATACTCAATTTCTTTGCATTGCTTATTTAAATATAAATCCCTGCCACTTCATGTTCTCTAGAACTTACATTTTGTTGAGCAAATTTTCCTAGATATATACACACACACATATATTTTTCATTCTGGTCACTGACTACAATATAACTACCTACAGCAGGTGGAACAAAATACAACAGTGTGTGACTAGTTCATAAATATAGTCAAAGTAGATCTAATTTTGCAGAGAGAGTAATGATATTTGCCCACTGTGGAAACTCAGTCCTACTGGTCTGATACAAATAACTTTGTATAGAATAAATTGAGGTTGCCACTTTATTTTATACATTATTAATTGGAGAGTAATACAATGGGCCCTTCCTTCTTATAAAAATATAGCAAGATATAGACAATAGTTTTATTTTATTCTATATCAATAGACAACCATTTAATTCTTTTACATTTCGGGATATTTCTCTTTGTATCATTTTTTATGATGCAACAAATTTTATTTCCAGTTTCTCTAGACATGTTTATCACTCTAATTCACTTCATCTATTCTTCATCACATAATCATAATGAATATTGCTTTGATCATATCTGATTATTTTGTTTTCTCTATTCTAAGTTATTATTTTAGGTATTCATAATCTACGTTGTGGTCTTGTTTTTGCTGACTGACTAGAGTTTCCATTTTTGCTTGTAATACGGTATAGAAAGATAATTTTATTTTGGGTTTTTCTGTTTTTATTTTCTGTTTTTCTGAAGATCTTGTGTAATCTTTTAGGTCGATAAGAGGAAAAGATTGCATCTTTTTTGGCAGAACTGTATTGGTCTCCTGCTTCCTTTCATATACCAAGGCCAAATATTCCCATTACTCCAGAAGCTATTTTACTTCCAACTTTAGCATTCCAATGTCCTATAATTACTATGGCATCTTTTCTGGTGTCAATAAGATGTTACAAGTTATAATAGAATTATTCAGCTTCCACTTCCTCTGTATCTGTGGTTAGACCATACATAGATCACTGTACCAGTGATTAGCTAGCCTTCAATTTTAATTGAGATCATCTATCTTTTTAGGATTGTATCCAAGCATTTGTACCTATTTATTTACCTATTTATATAACATTTATATAACCAAACATTTACCCAGAAAACTCTAGGTGGCAATCAGAATTTTAAAACAAATTATCCAAATTTTACAAATCAAAAAGAGAAACATTTGCATACATTTTTAGTAATAAGAACTACTTTTTTTCTATTATTTTGTTGTCTTCAGTAGGATCTGAAGGATCTGCAGAGGGTTCCTTTGATAGGAATTGGCTAATTCTGTTATATTTCAGTTCCTTAATTCCTAGAAAGTTGATATGCAATCTGTTCTGTCCCAGCCTATGAGAGTCCTTGTTATGCTCACAAGGAGAAACCCCTCTTCCAACAAGCAGGCAGAAACCACAAGAAAAAACCAACCCCTTTTATTCTCACAGACCTGAGTCAATGTCCAAGGCAAACAAACACAGTTCACAGAAACGTGATCCTCAACACGAATGGTTGCCTTTGGCAACCAGCACCTCCCACACCTTCCCTTTTATAATTCAGCCAAGGCGTGGCTTCCTAATGCCTTTTCCTTTGCCTTTGGAGCTGCCCCATTGCATTCCTCTGTTCTACTCGCTTCTCTTGCCTGCATGCATCCTGGATGTTTCCCAGCTGTTCTTCATCACTGTCCAACTCAGGCTCCCAGCACAGCTGTGTCTCAGCCTGAGCGCGAGTAGAGGGGCCAGGCTCCTCGTCCGACTGTAAGTCTGGGAGCTCCTCAGAGTCTTCCTCTGATTCTAATGTCACTCCAGGCCCCTCCTACTCATCTGATTCCTCAGACTCAGCTGCCGGATCCACAGGCTGGTGAGTAATCACAACACAATCTTGGCATTTCTGCCTGGACAACATCAAGTCTTCTTTGGTTCATAGTTCTGGCATTCTACTTACCAATGATATATTTGCTTTTGAAACATCAAACTGTCCAAATGCCTCTGGGCACATCACATCTAGATGTCCATTCAGCTTTAATAACTGTAAAATTATCAGTGCTACTTGCCCTCTACTTTTCCCTAGTTGACTGTTCAATACCTTCCAACACAGAGTACGGCTAATTTCCTAGTATCAGGCTGGCATTGCCTTGGCTGTAAATGTCTATTTGGTTTCTTGATAAAATACTGGAATGGTTGCTATTTCATTCTCCAGGGAAATAAGATATTTAGGTTACAAATGAGTTCTCTGATAAAAATTGAAGGGGAAAATTTCTCTCCCCATTTATAAACACTGCAAAGATTTCTGGAATGCTTTTTACTGTGTTATGACAGGTTAACAGATTCTTGAAAGCTGTGCACGTTTCTCTCCGTCCCATCTTATACTAAAGAAAATCAAGGCAAATTTACTTTGAGGGTTTTTTTTCTCTCATCCTTTTTTTCTCAGAGCTGAGTAATCTTTTCACAAACTGTTCACTTAGCAGTTTTGCTCATTCCTTCCCTTTTCTCAAAGTTAGGTCTTCATTCTTCCATAGATAATGAGCTTCTGTAGGGTAATCCAGAATCTAGATCTCTCCACTCCTAGTAAGCACCTTAACCTCTGTGTTACGGAGGCTAGTGGACAATAAGAATCTGAAAGTAAAGTGCTGTTTTTGTTAAGCGAGGGCTTTTGAGCCTTTAGTTTCTAAAAGTAAGATATTGCTTTGGGTAAACAAGGACTTAAATATTTAGGCATACTTGAAATATTTGGGGGAAAAAATCTTGAAAATAAAGATCCCTTAACTGGAGCACTGAAACGCTTTTTGAAAATAACACACTCTGCTTTGAATAAGCCAGTTTATTGAGACAAGAGACCTCCTATCAAATCTGGAAGCAGAGCAGTGCTCCAAGACAGCTCAGCAGCTCAGGTCAAGTCTCTCTGCAGTTGGACCTCCAGCACTCCTTCTTTTCCCCTGCTATCACTTGCTGTAAATAAAACAAAAGCAAAACAAACAGGACTTCCTGGGGTGAGTTTTTAAACATGAAGACTCCTCCAAAACAAAGTCTGCCCCATCCACAGACAGCAGGTACGCAAATGTGCTTGTCATGATTTGAAATGATACAAAAATATTGGTAATGCTGGGGCTAAGATGCTATTAGGATGCCTTGATGTCCTACTGTGTTGATTTTACTTGTTACCAACTATTTGTATCCTGCTTTTCAAAACAATGTTCTTCCCAATGCAATATAAGCCATTACAAATAGAAACATAATGTATGGGTCCTCTCACGGGGCAATTTATGATCTCACATATGACAAGAAGGAATATATTAAGCTTTTATTTCCATGATTGTTAAGTGTTCATGGGAGAGACATATGGGGGGAAGGGACAAATGACAAAACATACACGGATATGTCACAACACCTTCCTGTGACTTACCTGCTTGCTTTTTGTGCTCTTCCTAAATGCCCATTTAAATCCATTCTCATTTTTCTTATAGCATTTATTTGTTGGTTTGTTTATCAGACTTTAGATGCCTCTTACATCATAGACTCTGGGAACTTACACTCCTAAAAATATAAACAAACAGTTCTCAGATAAACTAGGAACAATCCACCGGATGAAATGAAATATAGAGGATCACTAAGCCTAACCACCTAAATTCCCAAAGTCCAGCCAAAGTGGACTGAACAGAAACAAGCCATTTCTACAAAAATCTCATAAATCAACCCTTCCTTCCTGGCTTACAATGTTAGACATTCTACATAATAAACAACTGGCACTAACAGGGAGCATCCCCACACTCTCTATCAATAGAATAACCAATTTTTCTCATTTTCTAGGGAGAACTGAAAGCTATGGGTAGTGAGTTCAGTTATTTTCCCAATCTATGCAAACTACCATTTGCGGCACTCTTTGGACAAAAAGTCTTCAAGGTAAATGGGCACAAAACTGTATTTTAAAGTACAAAGATAAAATGTATTGACTTCTCTGATCAAGGATGACTAGCAGACACTGACAGGGCAAGAATGTTATGAATTTCTTTTTCTTTTCCATCTTTCAATTTCAGGAAAGTTGAATGTAATGCTTATGACAAAGCCTTTCCACTCTAAACCTGGTTTTTGCCACCCCTTTGCATCCTGAAAAAAATTCTTCTTGGACCTCTGATGAGTTAGTCCTCTGATTTTATCTGACCATAATGATCTATTACAATATTACGTTTAAATTAATAAAGCATCAGGAATGAATTGTAGAGCTGCAGTGTCTCACACCTCAATCTACCACATTTGCAGACTGTAAAGTTGGAGTGAACTTTAGCAGTTTTGAAGGGAACACGTTTGGGCAAAATATTCACCACATATAGAATATTTCAATTCCGAACAGCTGGTAATAATTCTTTTCTTCCATTATTCTTTGAACAGAAGAGCTCAGATGGACACCACACCAAAAATATTGCTGGGGTCCTAAAGTTGATATAATGGATAAGGTATTTACAAGGTGAATTTGGCATAATTATCATGATTGTTCTTGCAGTGGGGTATGGTGTGCCCCCCCATTAATTACATATTATCATCAGTAGTTTGCAACAGTGATCAATTTAATATCTGCTGTGCCAGTGGTGTAGTATCCGTGGGCAGGAAAATGCCAAAACAAATCAGTGAATGGCTCTTCACTGGAGGGGATTCTTGGTTTCTTCCTTCTCCCACCTTCTAGGACTTTGATAATAGCATGATTAGATTAAGAAGCCAAATCCAGAATTACTGGTATACCAGCTATGGGCATCTGCACATTACAAGAGATGGAGCTTTGATTACATTGTCACTTTTTCCATCTTGACTTTTTTTGACACCTTCCAGCCCGATACCATAATTAGGCATTTGAAAAGCAATGCAAATTTCTCATAGTGGTTAACACAGAAACTTTAGGAACAGTAGTAATTCAGTTTATTTTTTATGATGGGAGGGGAAATGGCATGTGTACATACGACTCAGAGGAGGCAAAAGGAAGTACTGAGTTACTAACAGGTGCTACACTGGGCACAAAGCCAATAAAGACTTGTCACCACTCTTATCTGATCAAGGAAATAGTGAAACAAACAAGGGATTTGAAGATGATATAATTTCTTAAAAGGTTTCTATACCATGTGTCAGACAACTTTGTAAAGGTTCTCTGGCTCCTGCATTGTTATGATTGTGGGCATAGTGATGTTCATTTCTGATGACTTAAACCTATGTCATTTTGTTTGTTTCTTCTGGAAAACCTTTCCTGGTTCATGAAAATAAATAAATAAGCCTATTAAAAGTAGGTTTCATTATAAGAACTAGGAAGTTTATCTGGAATTTCACAATAATTTGGTCAAGGCCATACAATATTATCTTCCTAGAAGCACAGAGACACCATACCGCTCAACACATTTTTAATTTGGTTTCCTGCAGCTACTATTTCAGCTGGCTGTGCTGATTTTGTTGACTGTTTTTCTCTTGACAAACACAATACTGTCTCACAAATACATATACACAGAGGAAGTACCAAAAAGGGCAATCAGAATGATCATCTTATATGGAAGGCATGGCAACATGTGGATTTTGTAGCTTAAAAAAGCAGCAGAGAGGCATGGTAAAAGTACAATAATGTAGGAATAGAAAAGATTGATAGAAAAAAATATTTTTCAATTAAAGCTAAAGAGGATCATGCAGGACTGAGAAAAAGAACCCCCTTATTTACATAGCATTTAAGTAAACTTTGCAATGTGTTGTCATCAGATTTGATCCATACCAATTTAGGAAGCTTTAAAAGGTGATTAGATCAATTTCTGAAGACTGTGACTACAATGACTACTCGATGTATGGATCCACAACATCTCCCCAATCCCAGTAGCCCTCAGTTGCTGGCAATGGAAATAGATTATCCTCAAGCCCTACTTGTAGGTGTTTTAAATGCAGGAAGGTGCTGGGTCATTAAAGAAGATAGAAAGCTAACCTAAATGGGTGTTTGATCTGATCCATCAGAACTCTTAGGTTTATATTCACTCAGAACCCTGTCTCTGTCCCCATCCTTTCATCCTTTTAATCAAAGATCTTATTTTAATTTGGTCTTATCCCCAACACCACTCTTTTCCTCTTACCAAATTATTTTAACACTTTTACCACCAACTTGCATGAGAATCTTCTTTCTCCTGTTCACCTGTCCTCCCTCACCTGTTTCCATCTCACTCCACCCATTTCCCCTTTCATCCCTCCCATACACCATTAGTATCACTGCTCACAAGTGACCTGGGGGAAAAAAGAGCAAGTAATGTTCTCAACTGAAGATTCTTCTGGTTGTATGCTCCATAATGTACAGAGGGCCCGTTTCTCTGACAACTTACTATGGATACAAAACAAAGATAAACTGTGTGTGTCTGCTGTTGTAATGCTGTGAGTTTTACTATTAAGCAACCCTCATGTATGAAGTGGAAAGTTCACTCCTTCAACTCATGGGACCCAGGATCTGTTTAATATTAATAGGTGCTAGATTCCAGGTGGCTCAATCACAAGCCTCATGCAGAGTAAACACTCCCATTAAAGTGTAATAATACCAAAGGAGGAAGATAAACGGCTAACAATAGCAGAACTGAATCATCCAGGATGTTCCCACAATTCCTCGTGGCCAATGATAACTCATATTTGGATCTCACAAAAGGGATCCAAAATAGTCCATGGATAGAAATGCCTTTCTATCCACATTCAAAAGTAAGATTTGACATAGAGTCAGAAGAGCAGATGGTATAAAACAAGTGTGGAGACCAGACAGGAAGGGAGCAGGTGAGACTATTGAATAGAAAAGGAAAGATTTCAACTGGAGCTGCAGTAGTGTATATTGAGCTTGCTGCCTCATTATGATCTCTTCCCAAGGCATCTTTGGCCTGCTGTAAGTCTAACATATATACTTATTTCCATATGTGGCTTATTTCTTAAAAGATATCTTAATAGATATAACCATTAGGATTTTGGGGGTAATTCTAAACATAAAATTATATGAGTTTTGAGTTATCCCAATGCACAGATCTCTGGATCTACAGTACATATGGCATATATATTTGGCTTAAGAATTTTGGTGATGATAAATGAGAAGCATATTATTGTCAGGATCAGACAACGTATCTGAAAAACAGGGATATGAGAAATAAACATTTCCTATAGTTATTATGAAAAAATGATTTCTCCGTATTAAAAAATAAGGGGGGGGGGACCTGTAAGTACCGAGCACAAAGAAGAAAGTAACTCTTTCCAGGAGTTTTCTATGTTGAGTGATGTGATGAAATGTATCTACAAAGGGGGAGAGGGTGTGATGGACTACAATGAAGCAGCCTTTTCCCAGGAAGACAGGAGCACATTGGGGGGAGGGGCAGAACAAAAAGAGCACAATCCAAAGCTGGATCAAAGAAAGAGGGAGAGATTGAGCATAATTATTCCCTAGAATCTCCACAGGTTATATGTGTTAGAGTTAGAGTAGCATAGGTTTAGTTTGGCAAGATTCCATATATATACTGTGTTAGCAAATTATTGGCTGGCTTGTTCTATGTCATTCTTGGGCGTGGCTTGACAGTATTTCTTATTCTAGAAATTAATAGTTTTGCTTATAAATCCAGCTTCTGATGTTACAGAACACAGGAAGACAAATCATTATCATGAATTATGTTAAGTTTCTAGACCCAAGGAGCACTTTGAAATAATTTAATGGTTTCCAACTGGCAGCACAAATTGGATGAGTCCTCTTTATTTATTACATTTACATAGGTTATAGAGTTTTCCTTAATTTTTGCTCCACAATTGTGTGAAGTAAATTGGACTAGGGCAGGGGTGGGCAACCTTGGCTCTTTTATGACTCATGGACTTCAACTCCCAGAATTCCTGAGCCAGCATAGCTGAGCATAGCTGGCTCAGGAATTCTGGGAGTTGAAGTCCATGAGTCATAAAAGAGCCAAGGTTGCCTACCCCTGGACTAGGGGATAGTAAGTACTTTTGTCATTTTGAAAAAGTGCTATCAGACTCTTTCTATTATTTGGCCAGTCACCCAGTGGCTCAATAGTTCAGTTAGGGTTTCAACATGATCCAAGCATAGATTCTCAATTCTCATATCACACTGCTACTATAGCAATATTTGTATCTCATATGCAGCTCCTTGAGAAAAAAATGGTAGGAAAAAAAATTGTTTGTGGATATTTGGTGTGCTTCTCTTATCCTAATGGGAAGTAGTCAAAACAAGTGACTGAATATTATTTTGTTTCTTTTCTTTTCTTTTCTTTTTGCAGCTCAGATGACATTATAAAATGAATGTCAACCCCACAGAAGTAAAATCTGTTCTGAAGAGTTTGCTATATATCTATATGCAAGACAGGGAAAGGAAACTGAATTATACAAATCCATCTCTTGTACAGCAGGAAGAAATCTCAGCTTCTCTATACATCCTGATTATTATTGGGTTTTTTGGCTTTCTCCTTTTCTCTATGATGCTCAGCAATATTGTTCTCAGGCAGCGGGAAAACTACATAGACCATCTCTTTCAAAATAAATTTCCAGGAAACAGGAGGATAACTTCCTGCAACAGCATAATGATTAATGCTGGAAAGGGTGTTACAACAGAAGCTAACATAGATTACCAGTGCCAAAAGACTGACAGTTGCCCAATGGCAGAGATTCCAAGCATGGAATCAGTGCAGAAAAATGTATGAAGGTGCAGTGTCATGACCTATTTTTAACTGTGGATTATTTTGTTGCTGTCTAAAGCATTAGATCTGATTGCACTAACTTGGTCCATTCCTGGCAAGCCTCATTTGGAGCAACCTTCCTATCTACAGTGCAAGAAAAAAAACTTGTTTATTTCTAAACTGCATTATAGTTTTCCTATTCTAAGCTCCATTACGTTTCCACTAATAATTTGGTAATCGAGTTTAAACATGTATGATTTCTTTATATTCATGTTCATCTGCAGTTTTATGATGTGTCCTACATGGAATAAGTAAGCCATCTTCCTTGTTTCTTAATTGTGTGTTTTGTGAAAACTTTTGTTCTTGTAACTGTGTTATGTTGTGGAGACCTCTTCACAATCTAAGAGAAAATACATAAAAGCTGAAAGAGTCGAATCAAACAAACGTTCATATTGACTAGAACAGTGATGGCGAACCTTTTAGAGACTGAGTGCCCAAACTGCAACCTAAAACCCACTTATGCATCGTCGAGTGCCGGCTGGGTGTGGCCCATTGGCTGGGTGTGGCCAATTGGGTGGGTGTGACCAATTGGATGGGCATGGCTGCAGTGGTAACGGCAGACTGGGTGGGACTAAAAAGTTCAATCAATCAATTCCAACTTTGCAAGAATTTTTTTTCCCGCGAGAAGTTGAAATTGACTGAATCTTTTTTTTTTTTTTTGCACATGGCGGCGGAGGCCTTAAAGCAAAAAGGTTTTATAAAACCCAGTTGAAGGCCTAGGACTGGGGCGACGACACGCGTGCCCACAGAGAGGGCTCTGAGTGCCGCCTCTGGCACCCGTGCCATAAGTTTGCCACCACTGGACTAGAAGGTTAACTCTCCTGCCCTGGTTTGTTATTGGTCCATTATCCATGGATAGAAAATTCAAAACAGAAAGAGGTATACCCTGGAATCCAGGGCTGAAAGTATCCCCTGAACATCAGCAGTCTCGGAAAATTGTCAAATTGTCATGATTAATGTGATAAAAAAAAGAAACCTTATTAAAATCCATGACTAGAGAATAGGCAGGTTAATTATGCTGAAGTTTAATTAAATTTAAATGGAAACAAACTGAAGTCAAGTTTAGATTCTAACTCACCATTCAAAAGCTAAGTGTAAACCTTGTCAAGGAAAGGTTATGCATTCCTGGCATTAAATAATGAATCCAGGACATGTGTTTTGTGTACTAGACATTGTCAAAACAAAGATGGATTGAGAAGTTGATCATTTTTTACTATAACCCACAATTCTTGTAAATATTTAATTCTAGTGACTGCTTATACATAATAAAGAAGGGGAGGGGGGAAACCATTTTGAAAAGAAAGGATTATAATTAGGCATCATTCTTACCATAATGTAGATCAGCTTTCTTTTGACATGCTGACTGGGGATAATGGGACTTGTAGTCCAACATATCTGCTGGGTAGGAAGCTAGGAAAGAAAGTCCTTTCAGGCATTTTTCTCCAGGAGTAAAATGAGACTCAGTTGAAATCTGCTGTTACCTTCACTATTTATCATCTATTCTATTTGCTAAATTCTTTAAATCCTATAGCCAAGTTCTCCGGATGAATAAAAAATAAAAGCATGTGCAGTACAGTAAAATGCAAAATAAAAACACCCATAAACTATGCAGCTGAAAACTGGTCGGTCAAAGACTAAAACAATAGAAATTATAATGGAATTAAAATATATTTAAAATTCAGTTAAAAAGGCAAAGCAAATGAAAAGATTTCCATCTGGAGTGAAAATGATGCTAGCATGGGTGCTAGGCAAGCCTTTCTAAGAAGAAATTCCATTAATGGAGTTCCACCAGAGAAAATCTTGTCCCTCTCGTAGAGACCCATCTTATGGCTTTTGGTGATAAGACCTGGAGGAGGACTTCAATGGAAAATGGGTAGGCATGTATGGGGAATGGTGCTCCTGATCCCAAATTGTTTAACAAGTGGAAGATTAAAAGCAGCACTTTGAATCTGGTCCAGAAATGGACCTGCAACCAGTATAGATAGCAAAGAACTATCATAACCAATTTATTGACCAGTCCCAGGAAGCAGTCTAGCCACCTTATTTTGAATTAAAATAATGTTTCTGAACTGTTTTCAAAGGCAGCCTGTTGTACAATGCACTGCAATAATCCAATCTGAAGTTACCTGAGTGTGAATAACTATTGTTGAGATTGTCTCTGTCCAGGTAAAGTTGCAGTTGATCAATCATAAATGGCACTCCATGCCACTGAGCCAATCTGGATCTCTAATGATAGCAATGGAACTAGGAGTATCCCCCCTCCCCTTAAATTACGAACCTTTAGAGTTCAGACCCACTTAGCTGAACTGATGCATCGCCCACAAGCAATATTTTGGACTGAATCCTAGTTCATTGGCCTTCATCCAGTCCATTATCTTGCCTAAGAACTGATTCAGAATGCTGACTACCTCATCTGCATTAGTAGAAGTAGGTGTCCTCTGCATATTGATGTCACCTTAGCCCACTTCTCTGGATGACCTCTTCCAGCCTGAAACTGGCCTGAAATTGATCTAGATGAATCAGTTTCAATCAAAAGAGCCTGAAGTGGATGAGCCAGCAGCCATTCAAGCAAATTGCTGTGAAAGGAGTATTGGCCACAGGCATATAAGTTTTATTCTCTGAGTCCAGATTTGAATTCTTTCGAAATGGCCTGATCACTAACTCTTTAGGGAGGCTAGGACTGATGGAATAAATTTAACACCTGGACATCCCTAACTTGCACGGCCATTTATGGAATAGGTTTTTTTTCACCATCTCTGCTCCTATCCACTCCCCATCCCAGTGTGTTAAATACTATGAACCTTTAATTTAGACATTTTATACAAATTCCTGTTCATCTCAATAGAATAAGGAATAATCTGTCTTCCACGTTGTTGTTTTTAAATATAAATAACATAGAAGTTTCTGAACTCAGTCACATGACGTATCCATAATCTACATTTTATGTGAACCATGCAAGTAAACAGTACATAAATTGGCTGTTGGGCTCTGTCATTGATATAGCCCAAGCAATTAAGTCTGAACGTAAAATCAAAAAGTCAGTTCATTGTTCAGAGAGTAGCAAAACTGTATCGTGAAATCATTGTGCAAAGTCCTATTTGTGGGCCCGAAGTTCATACAAATAGGATCACAATGGAGACGGCATAAGGAATGAATAGTACAGTATATTGCAAAATAATTTTACTTATAGAAAAATGATCCTTGAGATAAGGTGTCATAAAAATATGGGAAGGTTCCTACACAAATAGTCTACTTTTTCTTTGGATGCTTCTACAGTATCTGATGGGAAAATTCAGAAAAGGGCAATGGGAACCTGATATATATGATGACAATGTCAAAAATGTGGGGGTTTCTTTTCATAGAAGCAACTTATTAACACAAAAATATGGTAAATATTACTGTATTATTTCTTTCACAGTAGAGACAGAAAATTAAGGTAGTCATTTTGATTTTGACAAGAGTGGTGTTTTCATTCAACATGACAAGGTACTTATGTATCGTTCCTTCATTTCAGATTACAGCTTTGCAAGGCTTCTTCCTTTTATCTGCCTGTACTTTGCTGCTAGAGTGTACTGTTTGGCAGCTTTATTTATGGGATTCAATAGAGAAATATATGGGGTCCAGGAACATAGAACCTAGTTGACCTGAAGAGAACAAGTATACTTCTACCACATGTATAAACACATCAGCAATTAGATATCTAATTCCTGAAATGCATACAATTGTCCCTGTACATCTGACTCTTGCTTTCTGCAATGTAGGCATAGATTATGGAGTGAGAATCTTTGGGATGGCCAGGGAGACAGGATTCTTCTGCACATTAATTACAAGCAGAAGCTGTGAAAGTCAAACTCAGAGAGTCAAGAAGCAGAGTTAAGAAGGGTCTATATCTGAAACAGCCTTTTTTCAATCTGGCATTCTGAGAGCTACAGAATTATAAAATTCTGGAAGTTGTAGATTCAATGAACTTGGAGAAAGCCAAGTTAAATGCTAGCTAAGACTCAAGGGATCTACAGCCAGCCATATTAGATCATCTGGGCTAGGTGGATTAATAAAGGCAGTAAACAATAAAAGGCAGTTGATTACTAGTTCTATGATAAAGAGCTATAAAATCCATCTTCAACTCACATTAACACTTAAATTAATACAATAAATATTAACTTTAAAGGTTTTGTTTCAATGATACATTTGTATAATACAAATTGTATTATTAAAACATTTTAATAATACAAAACACTTGTAATCTTATGGTGCAATTGAAATGTTGGGCCTATAGGACATAAGACGTAAAGAATCTCTTAGTTAAAGTTAGTTAAAGTTACCTAAACATGTAAAGGAATGTCTTTTCGTTCAGTGCCATTATAACTTTAGTTTCTGAATACGTCATTAAACAACAACAACCTATACAGGAGTTGCAGCATAGTAGGAGGGTAAGATACCCCAACATTCCATCCTCAATCAGCCTGATGACCTTTAACATTCCATCTCCTTAACAACTGACTTCCTCAGCATTGTTGCCACTCTTGAAGAAGCCATTTTGCCTAATAAGAGAAATAACTCCAAATGTATAAACAAGACCTGCCTAGTTTCCCCCAAATGGCCAGCAAACCAGATCCCTAGGATTTCCCACCATGTAGCTCTCAAACATTTTTGCTTTCTCATTTTTCAGGCTTCCTCATTATTGGAAAACAGGCATGCAATGATCGTTGCAATAAATATGGTTCTTTCTCCTCAGTGTTGGGTTCTGAACATCTGAATTTTCCACAACAGTTAATATTCAAGGTGCTTTTGTGCTTCACAAATGTACCCTATTAATCATTCTTCTATCTTGGAAATATTTTTTTCTTTGATGTTCACTTTTATGATAAACTAGCTGTACCCGGCCACGCGTTGCTGTGGCTCGTAGCGTGTGTTGCTTTTACATCCAACAGATGGTGCTGTTTTTCAAAAAAAGCATGTTTTTACCTGTCACAGGTGTGACATCTATATAATAGTAGGTATATAAAAACACGCGCGTATTCGAATGCAATGTTGTGTCAAAATTTCAAAGCAATCGGTGAAGAACTTTCGGAGATTTAAGATTTTGAACAAACGAATATTTACATTTTTATTTATATAGATTAAGACATATCACTGCACTTAGTTGAAAAAATTATTCTGAATTTAAGACCACACACCATGTCCTCAAAGAAAAAAGTCAGAAGAAAAAGTGACAAAAGTTCTGAGCATTGCTTAGTAACAGCTGACCTTCAGGCAAATCTTCAGATACGTTCTTGCTTTTCAGCAGGGATGTTTGCAGATGTTTGCACCATCGACCCACTCCTTTCTTACCAACTGTTACTTTTATTCTTATTAGAAATTGTTAAGATTCTGCCTCATTCCACCCCATCCCCTTGCATACCAATTCAGAGATAATTGGAGTATAAAATTTTGGCTTCCTATCAGGATAAGTCATGCTGTTTGTTCCAATTTACTTTTTTTTCAGATGCACTTCATTTTTCCCATTATACTGGACAATTTTTTTCAAGTTTTGCTTTCTTAATTTGGTGATTATGATAGACCCCTAAAAACTGAACCTAAATGTTTCAGAATGACTATCACACAGGAGTCTTGAGAAATGTGAAATTAACTTTGAATGACTATAATGTATTTAATCACATAAAGTTTTTGACATGGTGCATGAGTTCAACAGGGCTAAAAGTGTTTTGCTGCTGAATTTCATTTCTATTTAGTCTCCCATGCATCTCACTTCAGTGTTCAACCATGGTCAGACAGCATTGACTGAATCCTGTTGCCCTGATATCATTTTTCTTTTGTGGTGAATCCTTTCACCATGTTTGTGACTGACAGCCCCCAGATTTCCAGGAAAGAAATCCAAGTGTGAATGCAGACAACGAATCTTCAGTGACCTGTTATACTTCATGGTCTTGTATGCTGTAAGATGTTTGTCAACCGGGTGAACGTAGCTTGATGCTCTGTAAGTTGCCAAGAAAATTCTCAACAACATTTTTGAATGTTTTCCACACACTTTTCTCTGGCCAACAGATCTTCGAACTGCTCGTTATTGATGATGTACTGTATCTGATCTTTAGACCAACAAAATGCCCTCCTTAATCTTGGCATCAATTATTCTTGAAAATATTTGTCTTAAATACTTTTATTGTTCATCAGTCCAAGATTTACATGAAGCAGAAGCAAAAATATCTTTGTCACATCAACAAATGGTTCATGTGCCATGTTTTTCTGTCCCAGAACCAAATTCTTTTGGGGTGGCCTTTCTTTTTAATATAATGTGACTCTCTTGCATGTTTGTTCCATTTGTCTATGCAACAACAGTACTCAGTATATGCAAGAGCCACTACCTTTAGACCTCCACAGATATTCTATTTGTACTCTGTGTATTGGGTGTGCTTTAATAATAGTTCCATATTTTCATATGTTTCTTTCATGTGTGCAGCATAGCCAACAGATAATGAATGGTGTATATTGTCATTGTATAAAAATGTGCAGAAGACTTCTATAAAATGATACTTGATAAGTTAAATTATAGGTTATTTTCATGACTAGCAGCCATAAACCTGTAAAATACACCAAAAGGTGTTCAGGAAGCAAAATCCTTATTGTCCGTGACACATGAATGCATAATTCAGTTTTTGTTTCATTTTTTTTCTTTTGACGACCCTTTAATCCCTTTATTCAGGGTGGAGTTGGGGCGACTGAATGGAGCTGAGCGTTCCCTGGCCAGATGCCCTTCCTGGCACCTTTAGTTTTTGTTTCAGTATTACTAAATAATACAGGCAGTGAAATCCATTATGAGATCATCACTATCCCTGTGCATCATTAGAACTTTCTGTGCAATTCAATTTTGCCAGGAAATCCACGATGCATCGCATTGTAAACCCATTATTAAAACACATTATTCATCGGAGTTCTCACGATGCTACATCAAGAAAACTATGTCTGCAATATTTGAAAAGCTTAAGAACTCTGCATCTTAATGACTACAAGACTGTATTTTTAGGTGAAACTGATCTTTCTGAAAGTCTCATAACAGGAGACAAGTTTCCTTATGAAGATAATCACAACTGGCCTGCATGGACAGTTGTACATGCTGGCAACAGCCAAGGATGGATACCCTGGAGATACAGAGTATATCTAAGGGATGACTTACCCTTAAGGCAACAAGACGACATGTTTCAAGAATTCTGTGACTTTCTCTCTATTACTTATGGGAAGTGTGCCATTGTGGTCAAAGAGAAAAAACGCTTAAGGGTGAAGACTGAAGGAACTAACCAGGAGGGGGACACAATTGATCCTCAGGCCATTTCTCACCCAAACTTGTTGAACATCAAACACTGCCCTGAAATTGCCAGGGCTACAGGTCACGAACTTCTTTCAGTGCCTTTTGATTACAATTACTTACATCCTATGGATGCCGTCTGGTCATCTTTGAAATGGTTTATTATCAATAACAGAAAAGAGTTTTCTCTGACATCCTTGGAAAGGACCTATTCCTACCAATGCATCCTGTTCAGTGACCTGATTGGGAAAGGAATAGAGGCAACGAGCCCAAACAAATGGAAAGTGGCTGTTAACAAAGTGCGGAGATGGGAAAATTACTACTTGGATAAGTTTTCCTGACTTTCTCCAGTCGTTTGTCAAGTAATCTTTGGCTGAAAATAGGTTAATTCATATGAACTAAATTTACATTTTCACTTTATAATGCTAGGTCAATGGTGATAATAAAAAGAATAGTTTTAAAGTGACTTTTAGTGTTATAGTATTAGATTCACATATGCCATTTAAGTAGATTAATTTAATTTTGTTTGATGTGGACAAACAGCTATTTGTAGATATGTAGATACTTTAAGGAGAAAAGGAGAAAAAGACAAATAAGGCCAGTTATTAAGAATTAAGAAATTAAATTTTCTTAAATTAAATTACATTAAATTAAATAACTAAATTAAATAAATTAAGAATTAAGTTATTAACAATTAAGAAAAACAAAGATGTAATCTAATCCATATCCCAAATTTATGAGGATGTACACTTTAATTGGATCACATTGATTCTCATATCGGTGTTAGAACAAAGTATAAGAGCAAAACATTGATGGGCTCCAATAGAGATATTTCCTTCTCTTCTAGAATTTTTTCACATTTTGAATAGGAAAGAAATAGTCTAAGTCAGTCAAGAGATAATGGTGATCACCCCAATAAATAGGTGGGTTTGGGGGAGAAGTATAGTTAAATCTTTGTTTTTTACAGACATTCTTCTCTGAAAACTTTTTCTCTCCCTAAATCTAGTTACCAGTCAGAATTCCTGGCCCTTGGCTGCATTATATTTTAAGCTGATTTATTTTGGTTATATTTCATCCAATTATCACCAAACTTCCAATGCTTTTTGAGGTGATTAAGAGATTTATGGATTTCATATTTCTGGTTCATAAAATGACGATACTGTATTTTTGGAAGTAGTACAATTCAAAAGAATAAAAATAAACAGAAGAGTTCAACCAATGCCAAATAAATCTGCACTTAAATTTGAAACCATTTTTGTGATGCTCAAGTAATAATCAGCCATGATTACACTCTAGCAATGTACACATTCAAAACAGCTTCTAAAGAGGTCTTGCGGCTATATCCCTGAAAACACAAGTTACAGTAAATATGAATACTATGGTAGAGACTCAGCCTCCAAATAGGATGCACATAGCAAGACACTGGTCACGTCCAGAGGATAATTCCATGGTTTAAAAAAATAAGGCAAAAAGTAAATCTGTGACATATGTTATACAAGGAAAGAGAATTACAGTTAACACAAATTCTCTCTTGGCTTCTCTATGGGCTGCTAGTCACTTTCACCTTCCTTTTGGTTCTCTCTCTTTTTTTTTTCTCATTTCAGACTTTCTATGCCCCATTTCTCCCCTTGGAATTAAGTTTGCCAGTATCACCTGAAGACTTTTTTCTCTTCTAGCAATTGACACACTGCTAGTTTAACTGGCTGAACAATATTCTTGAAAGATTCCCACCTGTTTTATTGTATAACTTTTTATCCAAAGATTTTTTAAAAAATAATGATACTTGTATCATTCGAATCCATCTTTAGATGGAGAGGATACAAGCAGTTCCTGACATTTCTGCTATACCAGCAACGAAGAAAAAAGGCCTTCTGAATTCAGTAATAGTAATTTCCAAACATATACAGTACTCCATTGTCAGCCTATGGTATTTTTTTCTTATTTAGGGTGACTTTAATCATGGTTAGCCACAGCAAATCATCACATTTCCACAGGATGGCAGTACATGATATGAATGTGCCATAGACCTTGGTGTTCTAGGGCAAGCAATGCCTCTCATTCTTAATTCATGTTTAAGTGAAAAAAAAAGAATTGGCAACATGGGTTCCTTCAAATGTTGTCCAGTTCTGTTTATCAAAAGCCCTGGCTAGGATGGCTGATGAGAGTTGCTTCCAGCAACATCTGGAAGCTGGCCCACGGACTGCTTTTCCAACTTCTTAATTAAAACAAAATAAATCGGATAGCAGTGATCAGTTTTCTCAGCAACAAGCAGAAGAATATGTTTCCCAGTACAAAAAGAGAAACAAAACCTTTTAAAAGCCACGTGGAAGACAAATGGAGATTTTAAAAAGAGCCTAAGTAAAATTCTCATCAGATTCTCGGTGTGGTGCACCTTGCCTGGAAACAACAGAATTATAAAATAAATATTCAGCATCTTCCCATTTTCATTCGTATAGATTGTACCTGCTGATATGGCTTGTACTCTGTGCAAATTTCAGGTACTTTTATAATTAATCTGGCTCTAAGAATAAATCAAATCATCATATTAGATTTAAGTGGCTTCTTCTTACTTTAAACATGGAAGATGAAAACTGAACCTAATAGGCCTTATACAGTAACAGTGGGGCCATTATTTCATTTGTATAAAGGGGGCAAAGGAGAATTTTTAAAAAAAATCTGGTAAGGCAATACATCTTGTCTCACATTAATGAGAGACCTGTATCTCTTGGTTATTAGAAAATGAGAGATGAATTAGGCAATTTGAAATGTATTTGCAATTATTAGGGAAATGCAAACAATCATACACTTTTTAACCTATGTATTAATTTAGAGCCCATATTAAGGATTTTAAAGTTCTATCTATATTCATGTTTAACTTCAAGTCCCAGAAAAAGCAACACAAGAGCTTATCAAGTTTTTCTTCAACTTAGTAAAGTTGCAGCACCTTTAACATTTACTGAAAAACAAGCCCTATTATATTGAATGGAACTTTCTGCCATGCAAGAGTGCAAAGAACTGCAGCCTTTGATTTTGTGATATATTATGCCCAAAGCTACGAGTGCAGTCATCTGCAGGCCCACTCTAAAGTCTGATTCACTTCAATAGGAATCACAGCAGATTTTAAATTTTAGCATAACCTTTTTTTCCACATACAGTTTGTACCTTTAGCCTGGAAAAGCACAACAGGGTGAAGAGTAATGACTTAATCAAATGTGAAATTTTAAGACTGCACCTCTGTACTTGCCCCAAAGTGTCTTTTCCAGAGCAGATACTGGGGAACGAAGTGTCGGGGACTGCAGCCATAGAGCATACCTATTCTGCTAGCATTATCTATTTTACTGGGAGACAGACAGCGGTAGATGTAATACTTGGTTCCTTTTCCCTTTCAGTTCAAAGTGTAGTTTTAAAACCAACAGAACAGTCAGGACCGATCTAATTTATTTATTTCCAGTAGGATGTATTCATGAGCAACACTGACCAGATTAGGCTGCAAAGAGGAATAGTTTTCCTCTTGCCTGGCAGAATAATCAATTATCTATTTAACTGGGAGGTATTTAAACAAATGGAATGCAACATGCAAGATTGCAAATGATACCAGTTTTCCAAAGGAAGACTTTACTGAATAAGTAACTGACAATATCCAGCTACTACCTGTAACAAAACAACAAAATTAAAATACGTTGTTGTTCAAATAAATCTTGATCTTAGGAAATTCATTTCTCCAGCAAAGCTCTCCGTTTCAGCGAAATCTTCAATGCTTCCCAGAAAGGCATCCAAGTCAACTGCCATATGTCTGAAAAATCTGCACACAAAATAGAATGATTCTATTTGCAGCAGCTAGTAAGTCTCCATCTTCTCATGCAAAAAGCAACATGCGAGTTGGGAAATTTTGCTTTGATGTCATAAGGCTCCTAAGTAACATTGCAATCCCTTACATCACAACTCCTAATGCTACTGTACCTAAGGTCCACCCGACTGCTCGGCTGCAACTTCATAGCTCAAATCTCAGCCCACTCTATTCTCTGCATAAAAAAATTTAGGAGTAGAAAGGAAGATGTGGACCTGGGGTTTGACTCTTCCTTTTCTTGCTACTTCCTCCCAGCCTACTTTTTACACAACTTGAGATCTTTATTCTGTTTGCAGAAGATAGCGCCAAAGTTTTATAATGTAAGCCAAAGGGCATAGTCATCCTACCTGGTAGGTTATTTTGAAGTACACGATCTTTATTCATTTGAAAGCTGACAATGTTGGAACTAATCTGGAAGCCGCATGCAAAATGGGTGGAATGTGAGTTACACAATACATTCTCCTTTTGGCTCTCCCCCCCCCTTCTTTCCTTCCTTCCTTTCTTGTTAGAAAATAAAATCAAGAAACAGACCATTTTTATCAAAAGTCTGAACTGACTGTTGACAGAGGGATTCCAAAATTAGGATAAGTCACACTAGGAAATAAAGAGAAAGCCTTATATACATTAATAATAGGGAGCAAATGCTCAGCCTTGGATTAAGGTCTTACTCTTATAAAGTCTTACTCCAGATGCCATTCTAAACTGATACATGAAGTGGAGTCTTATCTTCAGTGGCTCTCTTGATATGGAATCTGCGGTCCAAGAGGTTCAATTAACTCCCATTCTGCCTTCTCTCAGAAGATGACACAAAATTCTGCATGCTACTACTCAACCTTTATTCAAATTATTTTTCTTAAGTTCAATGTACAAAATGTAATTTATATTTGGGTTTCAAGATTTGTTTCTTGCTGTTGTTTCAGATTTTGTGAGGCAATGTTTTAACACAATATTATTTTATTTTGAAATGTTTAAAATAAAATAGTTCCAGAAACCTAATCATTTGAATTTCTAATAGATACCAGAAGGTGGCACTCAAGTTAGTTTACATGCACATGCCATTTGAGGTTCAGAGCACCATATAACATTTCATAATTTCATTGTTTTCCCAGAAAACAAAATTGTTTTGTGTTCTGAAACTTATCTTTGTAAATCTCCCATTCATAATAAATGCAGCAATTGTTGTTAATTGCAAAGTCGTGTCCGACCCATCGCGACCCCATGGACAACGTTCCTCCAGGTCTTCCTGTCCTCTACCATCTTCTGGAGTCCATTTAAGTTCACGCCTACTGCTTCAGTGACTCCATCCAGCCACCTCATTCTCTGTCGTCCCCTTTTTCTATTGCCCTCAATTTTTCCCAGCATTAGGCCCTTCTCCAGTGAGTCCTTCCTTCTCATTAGGTGGCCAAAGTATTTGAGCTTCAACTTCAGGATCTGGCCTTCTAAAGAGCAGTCAGGGTTGATCTCTTCTAGGACTGACTGGTTTGAATGCCTTGCAGTCCAAGGGACTCGCAGGAGTCTTCTCCAGCACCATAGTTCAAAGGCCTCAATTCTTTGTCGCTCAGCCTTTCTTATGGTCCAACTTTCACATCCATACATTGCAACTGGGAAAACCATGGCCTTGACTATACGCACTTTTGTTGGCAGGGTGATGTCTCTGCTTTTTAGTATGTTGTCTAGATTTGCCATAGCTTGTAAATGTTCTGTTGTGATAGACTGAGGTCTGTATGTGTCTCTGTGTATTTGTGTGTTAAGTGCACGTAGATTCAGGACAAATATTCCATATATAATAAAAGGAATTAATTTCCAGTTCTTTAGAATGCCTTGAAATTGCAACGCTGATTCTTTCATTTAAAAAACAGTTGGAGCTTTTTCAGCCACATTACAAGGTTGCTCCAAAGAGGCCCAGCAAAATAAGCAGTGCAGCTTATTCAAATAAAATGCCTAACTCAAATATATTCTTCTGGTGCTCCCATTCCAGTTTTATGTACTAAGTTAAATGTTTTAGTTGACATTGTTCCCATAGTAAACCTCCAAATGATAATCCTGGCATAAGCCTTCTACTACAATTGAACAGGAAGACTGGAAGATCATGACCTGAAGAAGGAGACATATGGGGTTTTTTTCTGTCTTGGAAAAAGTTTTGTCTTTAATAAGGCAAAGTCAGAGAATGGAAGGTGATAATGGGAAGGTAGCTGACAGGGTCTTTTTCTCATGTTAAATATTCCCAACGTATTTCTGCCCAGGAAAATAAGAATAACTTATCTTGCTGTACATATTATTTAAGGGGTGATGGTCATATTTAAAGGGGTGGGAGAATAGGAATTTGAAAGCACTCCTCCTACTATGACAGTTGAAGTTTTCAAATACCTATGAGATATATAAAATCTAAACTGAAGTTCCAAAGAATTGCAGTAAACTCACCAAGCATGAAATTATTCAGAGGAATGTGAGTTACAACAACACTCCCACACCTTCAAAGGAAGGCTGGATTCAACAATGAACCACTGATTGTTTAATTATAGTTTACTGTATATCCCATAACAGCCTGTTCCAACTCACATTACATTGTAAACACCAACCCATTTCTAGCTGCATTTTTATTAGATTGTATGCTTTTAATGCATTGGGAAGCTGTACACCACTCAGCTGAAAGCACCTTCAGCCCTGGAACAAATCAAGAATTAATATGTATGCATTTGTGTATTGAGGCATGGGGCCGCGTATATCAGTGTTTCTCAACCTTGACAATTTTAAGGCATGTGGACTTCAACTCCCAGAATTCCACAGCCAGCAATGCTGGCTGTGGAATTCTGGGAGTTGAAGTCCACATGCCTTAAAATTGTCAAGGTTGAGAAACACTGGCGTATATGGAGATCACCAACATAAGTCATCCGGGTTTTCAGAGCTTGCAAAAGAGTTGTTTATATGCCCAAGTGTAACACTGTAGAATTCTTTCATGCAAGAAAGGGGGGGGGGAGTCTTCTGACCAATCCTGAAAGTAGAATGGGCCATGTCACTTCACAACTTCCTTCATGCATTGTTTCAATCAATGGGGTATTCCTCTTAACTCCATTGTTATAAAACATTATTAATTCCAGTGAAAATATACCTTTAGATCTTCAGTTTTCTTTTTTCTCCATTTCTCTTTTCTGCTTTTCTATTTGTTCCTTTTTCAGCTTCTCTTCAAGTCTTTTCCTTTGATATATTTTTACCCCAGCAAACGCTAAGCAAAGAATTAATGTTTTAGCAGCTAAAATGTACATTAGTAGTGGAAAATTTTCCAGTGCCTAAAACAGAAAAAAAATCACTTAGTTATTTTAATGTAATAAAGTAAACAGAACAGCTAGAAAATGAACATTTGAGTCTGTAAAACTCAAACTAATTCTTTGAAACAGCTATCATGATTCAAAAGGCCTTCAAAGTCATGGAATAGTTATACCTTTCATCATATTAACAATGCCTTATGAAGATGATCTCAGTTAAAATACTGTACATGTACTTTATAATTAATTCTCTAAATTCCTTTGCTTCATGATGGTTAATTTGTGACGGTATGCACAACGTTCCTTTAACATTCCAAATACGCTCACTAAAAAGCTAACCATAGTTAGGGAGCCCCCAGTACAAGTTTTGCTGGCTTTAACACAATCTACTAAAGAAGAACAGAATGATTATGTAGGTCTTTATTCAAAAGGCTACAATTTTAAAAAGTGTAAAAGTAAAACACATGCATCAAACCCAAATCACGTAAACAGAATCTGTTCTGTACAGAACCAGGATAAGCTGACCACACGGATAAAGTACAAGAATACACAACCTGAAGTGTGTAGTCATTGACTGAGATATGTTCTTGCACAGCCACAGCTAAGAAACAAGATAAAGAGTCCATAGGAAGAACCTGCTATAACCTTTCTACAAAACCATTAATTTATACAGTACAGACAGTAGTTTTCTAGATATATAGGCATCCATCTATAAATAAAATATATAGGACTGTTTCTTCCAGACTCACTAAGAAATCAAGAGACCAAAATTTAAGATACAAATTAAAATTTCTCTCACCTTCCAATTCATTTTAATTCTGTATCACTGTAATCTTCAGCTTAGGATGTTACAAAGAATGCGGGGCAAATATGTAAGAATGCAGTGTTTTTTTGTAAAAAGCCACCTGGGGAAGGAAAAAGAAGTGATATATTCAAAGAACCCATTTGAACCACAGAAAATAGAAAATTGCTAGGGGCAAGCTCATCTGTCAAAATAGCTCACTGATTTGTTTCATCAAAACGATGAAATGGGATGGTGCTTGTATTATGACTGTCCAAAACTGCTTCTGTCATCACCTCTGTCCCCCATCTCCTCTGAACACCTAGTGTCTAGATGCCTGTTAAAATGGTACAGAATCCCAGGACACTGATTGCTTATTTCTCTCTGAAAACATATATCTGCCTTTAGATGAATTGAACCAGAAGATTCTAATGGCCATAAGGCAGTTGCAAAAATTTAAGAAGCTGCAATTCAGTTACACTTACAACCACTAACTTGGCCAAAGGATAAATTATTCATCCTCCAAATTTGGTATATTACCTGCCAAGCTGTCCACAAACTGCTTGGAGGTCAACAACTGGGCTTCAGCTTACTCACCCAATTCCTAGCCAATAGCAATAGAAGCAATAGTTAAGATTAATTTAATGGGCTCTGGTAGTAAACAAGAGAATGAAAATTGCAATAATAAAAGATCCATGCTGGAGAATTGGAAAATCCTGTGTGTTAATAATGTGTGGCATAGCATAAAATATACAATAAAGAAAAAAAACAGCAATTGAAAACTGAGCACTAATGGCAACATTTTCATTATTAAATTTGAGAACTTGCCCTGTTTATATTGTAGGTTCCATATTCTGCCCCCTATTTTCTGAAACCAAAAAACATTTTGATTCTTGACTGATTTTTTTTCCATTCTAGAGCAAAAACTCTGAAATGAGCATAGCAATGAGCAAACATATTTTTTCTACATTGCTCAATATTATTTTAAACAATCCTGATTTATCTGAATCAAAGCCCCTTCTGAAAATAAAATTCAAGAATTTATACCACCAATTTATACTTGAAATACATTAAGGAGTTCAAGAGAAGCTAATTCTAAACATATGATTAATATGTTATATATTTCACTGCAAGTTTATTCCAAAAACATTAATTTATATTTATTTCTAGTGATTTTTCTGTCAACTTCTACGACTTTCTCCCAGTTCAAACTATTTCTCTTTATTTTTCATTTTTATTTATATGTCTCTGCCAAAGCCCTACGTGGAAAGCCATTTATTTTTTAAAAAAATTAAAAATGCATCTGATAAGGGTCTCTAGTGATACAATAATAGAAGTATGATTTATTCATAAAGACTTCCCAGAATTATGTTCTTGATACCCTTAGAATCATGTAGCATACCAAGTTCCATATTTATCTTTTTCCCCCTAAATGGGTTGATATGAGATAATTATGTGAACATAGTTTGTTTTCTTATACTTGCAAAGTTTTTCCTAATAAAATAACAAGATCTAATGCTATGCCAGGACTTTATATTGTTTATTTATTTGGATGATTTATATTTCTACTCACCTCACAAATGACTCTGAGAGACTTACATGCAGCTAAAAACAGAAAAATCAAGTAAACCAAAAGCAAAATACACAAATGCCACAATATAGCCAAGCCACAACATATTCCAGTGCAGTCATTTCAGAATGTGTTCAATCAATGTTCTGGCCCAAGGAGGCAGGAATCAGGTTTCCAAGATCTTATGAAAAACTAGCATGTCAGGGTCATCCAAATTAATTCACAAAGTCCTGTTAATGTAACAACCTGGATAGCATTCTGAATAATTGATATTTATCTATAACAGTGGTGGCAAACCTAAGGCACGGGTGCCAGAGGTGGCATTCAGAGGATGGGCACGCGTGCCGTCGCCCCAGTCCTAGGCCTTCAGCTGGGTTTTATAAAACCTTTTTGCTTTAGGCCTCCGCTGCCGTGTGCAAAAAAAAAAAAGGTTAAATCAGTCAATTTCAACTTCTCACGGGAAGAAAAAGATCTTGCAAAGTTGGAATTGATTGATTGAACTTTTTAATCCCACCCAGTCTGCCGTTACCACTGCATCCACGCCCACCCAATGGGCCATGCCCACCCGGCACCCAACGATACATAACTGGGTTTTGGGTTGCAGTTTGGGCACTCAGTCTCTAAAAGGTTCGCCATCACTGCTCTATGAAGTAATACTGTTATTTATAACACAAGTTGTAGATACCTTTATAGGAGTTCTGCAGTGATATACATGTTTTAATATTCATGTTTGACTGTGTAGCTTGTTAGCTAGTTTAGCCCTATTGCCTTTTAATCCCTGGTTTTTTTATTTTTTAAAGAATTGATTTAGTTTAACTCTCACCCAACATTACGTGCAAATTTCCATATAAGGATGTAACATATTAAACTGATCTGATCATTTAATTTAGCTATAGTACATATATTTGCCCTCATAGTTTGATATTCTCCATCCTGTTTTAATCTGCATAACAGTTCATTCTCTTGGATTTGCAAAACATCCAGAACCATAAACTAGTTATATGTGCTGAATTTTTAAGATGTGATCAGCTACTTTATGGTTCTGTGTGATTTTCAAATTAGATACTGTGCATGTTCACGCTAAAAACCCAATGTGATTAACTCATTTGTTACTAGGCACAGAACTGAAACTTAAGACTGCGAGAATGTAAATATTTTAATCCAGGTTAATCGGTAACACAAAATGCAAAGTTTCATTGTAAAATTGACATTTATTTCCTAAGAATTCCATAAAATAAACAGAGTTGAAGTCCTAAGAACATTTTCAGTATAATTTTCTATATTCAGAAGTCTATTGATTCCTTTACTCCTTCCAAAACTTTAACCACACCACTATGAAACGTGAGATAAACGCTAGTTATTTCCGGAGAAAACTACATGGCCTGGTCCGGCTTGCAACATACTCCACTATCTACAACGATGTTTCGAAAAATGGTTAAACCTATGCAAGTCGGAAACAAAGATAACTTCCCTTATGTCTGCCTAGCCTGTATTGTGCAACTGAATTCCACGCATGCTGGTTCAAACTACGTGCCTTGGTGTTCAACAAGGTTAACTCCAAATGCAGATTGACTGCTATGAGATTCTGAATTGCAGATCAAAGAATTTACACATCATTGCTCTTACTGCAATGTAAAGGTTAAAAAAAAAAGAAACATAAGGTCCACAGCACCGTCCCTTTTCATGATATGGTTTTTGTTTAAATCAGCCTTTCTGGTAAATTAGTCTAACAACGCTGTGTAATTTGTTATGCAAAAACTACAGTACCTTAATAGCGAGGAGCCATTAAACACAGGAAACTACTAGAGAACTACGACTCCCAGAACCCTTGCTGCTAAGGCGTCCAATACGTCAGCAAAGGGGGGGAGGAAACCGTAGCGGTTAACCCTTTCGATACTACTACTACGAGGGAAATGAGATTTACTATTCGAATCATGATAAAAAAAAAAGAAAAGGCTCCCCCTTTTACTACCACCGGTATTGAAGGCAGAAGCACGTTCTCTTCTCTCTTAACAGAATAACAGAACAGAATAACAGAGTTGGAAGGGACCTTGTAGGTCATCTAGTCCAACTCCCTGCTCAAGCAGGAGACCCTGTAGCAGTGTTTCTCAACCTTGACAATTTTAAGGCATGTGGACTTCAACTCCCAGAATTTCACAGCCAGCAATGCTGGCTGTGGAATTCTGGGAGTTGAAGTCCACATGCCTTAAAATTGTCAAGGTTGAGAAACACTGCCCTATAGTACCATTTCTGTCAAGTGGCTGTCCAGTCTCTTCTTGAAAGCCTCCAATGATGAAGCACCCGCAATTTCTGAAGGCAAGCTGTTTCATTGGTTGATTGTTCTCAAGTCAGAAAATTTCTCATTTCTAGGTTGAATCTTTCCTTGATCAGTTTCCATCCATTGTTCCTTATCTGGCCTTCGGGTACTTTGGAAAAGCTGGGCTGCTAAATTATGAAACAGGGCAGCATGGAACTCTTTTATTGAGACATGGCTTGCTAAATCATTTATTTCAGCAACAAGGTTTTTAGTATTTGGCATGACTCATTCAGAGACCTTTCATCACCTAACTTTTTTTTTTAATTATCATCATTCATTGCTCAATGAGCTTGTTAAACTGAATATGCTAACAAATCACTTGACAAGATGGCAATGGTATTCTCTAAGGATACTGTGTTGAATCTGTACACAGATACGCATTATTTATTTGATAAATTAAAAAAAATAACATGGGTTTTGCTAAAAAATAAGAGAATTTTAAAATCAGATGGGCATGATCTGAGGTTGTAAAAAAAACATTGTACCATGTTCTTATGGCACAATACAGTTAAGGTAAAAGTAGATTTTAAGAATCATTATATCAGAAGTGCCATATTGGGAATAGATCTAAATCCAAATTGTGCCTAAATTGTCTTTATGGGTCTCAACACATGAAGCATTTTACAGGAAAGAAACAGTAAGTAAAAAATGGTTATCTTACTGAGAATTGTTGGAACAGGAACATGGAGAATATGAGATGAAGAGAGGACTTTACTGCAGAGGGGTTTAGTTTACAACTAGACAATCCATGACTCCTTGGGTCATTGTTTCAGAGATATTTCCTTACTAGATTCCTCAGTACTTTCAGCAGTGACAGAACTTCTAACGTACTGCCTTCAATGGGAAAGTTAGGATACAATGAGAAAATGTATCTGTCTTGAAAATGGCACGTTGAACTTTTTAGCACAAACATCAGCACAGGAAATGTTTTGTGACATTTGCATTATCTCATAAATTGTTTTATGATAATTTTTATATCATAAAAGTTGTATAAAACTTATTCACTATGCTTTATTTCATTTGTTTCTTTTCTAATAGTTGTAATTTTTATCTTGTCAACCTTTTTTAAAAAACGAAAATGCTGAAAATATTCAGTTCTCTAAAAGTAATTGCATTTTGCATTAATTTATCCGTATGCAAAAGTGGGAGGATCACAGAAAAGCCTTGGTAGCGGTCAACATTTGCACTGTTCATATGGATCAAATATGGTGCTTATTAGAGCATGATGTTACATCCTTGTACCCCGAGCACTAGCAATTCCAGGAGTGCAAAGATTTTTCCAGGTTTTGGTTCCCCACAATCAGGTCACTGAAGTTGGCTTATGGTGTTTGGTAAAAGGTAATTAATTTACAGGCTGAATGTAAATTTATATTCATTTACAGGCTAAATATACATTTAAATTCAGGTACAGGCCGAGTATGGAGGGAGATTCAGAACATGAGCACTTCAAAAAATGTTTGTTCAGTCATTAAATCCTAAAGACGTTTCCAGAACTCCAATATAATATTGTCTGGCACACCCCAGAAGTAGAATTCAAATTGCTTCCTTTTTTCTTTCTTTCAATTGAGAAATTGTATTAATTAATTAAGCAAAGTGTAATTAATCAAGTGTAATCAAAGTGTAGGCTACTGTAAGATAAGCTTCCAAACAAAAAGCTTTATACAATTGAAGTATCAGATAAGAATCATGTAACAACTACAATTCACAGTGTTAATGGATTCTAAATGATAGAATGTCCATACAGTCATAAAAGAACTGTGATTTTAGGTTACATATAAAAAAGAACTTTCAGTTATTCTATTAATAAGTTCCTTAGTAAAGGGTGGAATCTATTGATTCATCTTCCCATGTTATTCATCTGATTCACAAAAGAAGCAGCTGATACCCATTTCATAAAAACAGTAAAGTAAAGATAAAGGTTTCCCCTGTGTCCCCAGTTGATTCTGACTCTAAGGGGTGATGCCCATCTTCGTTCCCTAGCCGAGGGAGCCAGCATTCTCCAAAGACATTTCTGTAGTCATGTGACCAGCATGATTATAAGCAGAGGTGCATGGGATGCTGTTATGGTTCCACTATTGCATTGGTAAGCTTTTGAACTGCTAGGTTGTCAGGAGATGGGGGGCAAGAACAGGAGCGTACCCCATCATGCGCTGCTTGGGTCTCAAACTGCCAACCTTTTAGTCTACAGACCCAGAGATACCGTAATTATTGCAGCTTTCTTTTCTCTTCCTGGGTGGCCGATTCCAGGGGTTTTACTGAGCAGGAAGGATCCAGTTTTAGCTTCATGAAGCAGGACAGTGTTGGAGGTAATAGAGTTTTGGTCCTCTGTCTTCTTCCATTGGCTGGGTAGTTGACGCACACAAATACAAAAACAGCGTGGTGGTGGTGGTGAAGGCTGAAAATCTCTCTAAAAAGAATACCATGATGTCTGGGTGGAATTATCCATTTTCTTCAACAAAGAAGTCAATGTATTTTTATAATTTGTTATAATTTCCTTCAAGGATCTTAATTTAATCCCTCAATCCTGTAAAAATTCTGGAATTTCAGAATGTAAACTAGCTTCCCTGATTTAACCCACTTTGTAAATTCTTGAACAGATGAAGATGTCTAGAAAGCTTTGCTTTGATTAGAGCACATGCATAGTTGTTAGTACTCTGCCTGTAGATATTAAATTTAATATTTAACTTAATCTGATATCCTATAGTTATGTATAGAATATAAATTTTAGCACACTGTATATTGAAGCCACTAAATTGGGGACTAACCCCTCATCTCAATTCTTCTTCATTCAGTTTTTTTTTTTTTAGTGATTATGGACTACCTTTGCCCTTGGCTCCACAATTTTCATGGACAATGGATTTAAGATCATCTTGGAAAAGAATCTGGTTTTTTAGCTTTTCGCCCCAATCATCCACAATGTACTGATGATAAGGGTCATTGGAATGCTCTTGTCTCTTTGATTTCACTGTGCTTATTAAGATTGCCACAATAATAAAAGAGAAGATGCCAATCATTACCATAAGATACAAAATTACATAATCTAAATTTTCAGCATCAACTTTTTCTTGCAAGGCATCTTGTTCCATTGTGGTATTTCTACGCCAGTTGTTCATATAGTCAATGAAAATCTTCTTGAAAGTCTCTTCCAGAGAACGGGTGAAGTTTTGTAAAGCCGCCATATTTCAGTTAACTAACCTTAAAAACAAAAATGTGTGTCAGTCATCTACATATGATAGAATTCATAAGAATTCACAGTTATATTCAGAGAGGAATATATGGCATTCGTCTATAAAACATCATGCTTATTAGAAATTTTTGGAAATATAGTCCCAGTACAGCATGTTGAGCAAAGCTAGAAAAATACAGAAAAACCTGTATATGCAGCTACATTTTTCTGAACAGAAATAAAGGACATGCTTGAAACATTTGCATTTTAAATTCAGAATACCATGGATCAACCATCATTAGAAATACATTTTTGTACCCAGAAACAGACCTTTTAGAGAGCTGCAGCAGAATAACCGTGACTCAGTGCAGCTCATGATTGGAAAACAAACAGTGAGTACCTGGCTTGACATTAAAATGGCCTTGAAGTTAATTTATTATATTTGCAAAACTTCATTGCAGGGCCAACTTTAACATTATTGTAAACATTGTAACCAAATGAAGTTTAATTAACATTTTTAGAAAATTAAAAGAGACTTTGAAATGTTACAGGCTTTAAGGATTAGATTTCAAGGCTGTTACAATATATTTTTCCTGCATAAACAATAGGTTTTTTATTGTTTTTTTAACAATGAAAAACAATTATTGCTAGAATCTTTATAACTCATCTATTTATCAAGTATTGCCAAGAAACTTTGTTCTTCAATTATATTCTATAATTGAATTATACCAATACATTTTAACTTATAATTTTATTGTAGTAAAACAACATATTGATGATCAACATCTCCAGCCCTTTGCTGGATACCAAGAAGTGGCACATAGCTAGAATATCTGACTGGACACTTAAAAATATCATAAGAGTGCTTTGAGTCACAAAATTATCAATTTATATTACATATAAGAAGACAACTTCACATTTTTCTTAAACAAGTTCTTTAAAGATCTTATGTTAGAACTTTAGAAACAATACATTTCTTAATGAGCAGAGGTGATGAAAACATCTAAAACTAAACTCAAGTTATGTGTGTAAGCTTTAAAAAATTAACTAGGTGCATAATAATAATAACAATAATAATAATAATAATAAAGTTGGAAGGGACCTTGGAGGTCATCTAGTCCAACACCCTGCTTTTTAGCTTTTAAAATTACTAAATGGTTTATATTTTATTTTTCTTACACTGGTCTATGACTGTGACAAAGATTTTAAAAAATCTAAACAAAAATGCATTGAAGTATTTGGATAAACCTAAGTCATAAAGGAAAAAATAAAATAGGATTTCACTCACAGTAGATTCAGTCATCATAAAGTTAACACAAAAAAGAACAATATACAATAGAGAGGTCTCCAGCACAAACATATTTTACATTTTAACTTTTACATTTTAAAGTTTAGATGAATAAACATTGTGCAAATCTGTAAGTCTTTCACAATATTTTGCATTCTAAGGATATAACTATATCCCACGTGGACCCTGGAGGCAGTCTAAGAAAATAAAAATTATTAGTGGCTATAGCATATTGCTTTATTTAAAAATGAGGTAATTTGTCCATTAAAAAGACAAAAATAAGGAAGGGGCGAAATATACAGCACTCTTATTATTCCAAGGGGAATCTGAAGATCAACTTTCCCTGTTAGTTTTCTAATAAACAGACTTTTTCTGATATGGCACATAGATATACCTGCCAACTTAGAAAAATTGGATTAGGGTTATAATAAGATTGTAAGATTATGGATGGATGGATGAATGGATGGCTGGATGGATGGATAGATGGACGGAAAAATTACATGGATGAAACATTTGCTGCTGATGTATTGCAGATAGAAGTTTATTTAACTGATGCAGCAAGGTAGAATAAAGGCTGTGAATTATTTTCTGATCCATATCTTAATTTAGCCATTGAAAGGTCTTAAGCAAATTGAATTCATACATTAACCCATGGCTCGATTTACTTTACCAGATAGTGGTCTGATTCATCCATAGCATTTAGCCATAAGCTATTATTTACAAACCACAATGACTGGGTTGACACGTGTTGTCAGAATCAAATTGCAGTATACCTTAATGCAATGTGTGAACTCAATCTCATAGCCCTATTCACAATTTATAATTAGGTTACCTGATTTTGCCGTATTCATTAGGTAAAGTATATTTTTAAAGAACTTATGGATAGCATTTGACAGATTTCCTTTCCAAGTTTATCGCTCATCCTATCTGGAAAGAATTTTAGTTTCTATATATCATAATCATACAGATGAATAAAACACACCCTTTGTGAGCACTTTGGGAGTGTTTGTGATCTCTGAAACAGTTTGTGGGAACTTGTCTGTACCAGCTATAATGTAAGTGTAATGAAGGATCCTTGCTTTACCAATTGGTACCTTTTGAAAATGGTGTAGCTAGTTTTTGTACCAGCCATATCAATGCAAAACCACTCTCTGAGAATGGAAAGTATAATAAATAATTCACTCTGGTTGTCTATGTAGTATATGGCATATTCTGCTGGCAATTTTGTATGGGTCATAGACTGTCACTTAATCCTTGACATAGATGAGTTATTCTATCTGCACAATTAAAAAGCCAAGAAGGAACCTAGTGATGTCTGTGTGTCCTGTAGTTTGCCCTTGAAAATCTTGTCTAATCTAATTGTAATTTAAAAGCCTTAAAAGCTCTTACTGAATATCTTGTTCCCTTCCCCAACCTTCATTTCACTTTGCCATTTATATTTCAGTTGTTGAACCTTATTATATCTCTTCTGTTAAATAGCTGAATGCCAGTAACACATTTCATAAATAGGGTTAAAGTGACATGTAGTCTCACTCAAATGGAAATCAGTGGAGCTGAAGATCATAATGAATAAATTTTCAGTTGAAATATATGAATGACATTGGCTTAAGTATGAAGGAAATAAGTCTAACTCATTAAATTCTTTGCTTAAGCATTTTATGTATTCTGGTTTCACTTTTCAAAACTTTGCTTATTTTCTTATCCATCCTGACTCAGTATACTATTTTTTTTGCTTAATTTCAAATTAAAGTTAACAAATTATTTAAGGAAAATTAGTTATTGTTATTAAAGACTTACCTCTTCTGGATATCTGTATAAAAAATTCTCAGTAGCAAAGAACATGTACTAATACTCTTGTGATATTCTTGAGGAGAACTAGGAAACCATCAACCAGAAGAATCCATCTTATTCTATGAATAATTGCTTCATTGTAATCTGTCTTTAAAGTAGATGCATTTGTACATTTAATCTCACTAGAAAGTTAAATATTGGCTTACTCAACAAGTAACCTTGATACTTGGCAAGAACATGAAATACTTTTGGTCCTGTAAATTATTGGAATATAAAAATTTAAAGTTGCAGTCATGTTTTTACACTCAGCTGTAAAATTAGACAATATCTCTATTGAAGTTGTAATAACATGGCTTAAAATTGAAATTGTAACTTTCAGTGGGAAGGGAATAACTTTAAAAATAAAACAGAAGGGTAGTCACATTTGTAAGCTTTTTCTTTAAAAGTATTTTTTACACTAAGCTTCTAAAACTCTGTTTTCTCAACCCACTGTTTTTAGACAAATAGGTGAACTCCCATCCAATAGAGTTACGGAACATGTTACATGCTTTTAAAAACGTGAAATTTTCTGGGCAGAATATGCCCATCAAATTCCAATTTGTTTCCAGGCAGTTGCAAAACTTTAAATCAGTTGGGAAACTTTTGTGGTTACAATTTCCTGGTACTGATTTACTTCTCTCTTTTTCAAATGGGGTTTTACTCAATAGAGTGGGGAAAACAAAATGGGTTTTGTCAAGGATACTCAATTCAAAGGCGTTTTGCCTTTTCTGTTTTAATACACTTTCTCTACAAGAAAATTACAGAAGATGAAGTGGAGGACTGCAAACCTCTGGACCTCTCATAAGAGTAAGGGAATACAGGAAGTCCTCGACTTACAACAGTTCATTTCGTGACCATTCCAAGTTACAACGGCACTGAAAAAGTGACTTATGACTATTTTTCACACTTACGACTGTTGCAGCATCCCTGTAGTCACATGATCAAAATTCAGATGCTTGGCAACTGATTCGTATTTATGACAATTGCAGTGTCTTGGAGTCACGTGATCACCTTTTGCGACTTTCTGACAAGCAAAGTCAATGGGCAAACCAGATTCACTTAGCAACCATGTTACTATCATAAAAATTGCAGTGTTTCACTTAACAACTGTGGCAAGAAAGGTCGTAAAATGGGCCAAAACTCACTTAACAAATGTTTCACTTAGCAACAGAAATGTTGGGCTCAGTTGTGGTCGTAAGTCAAGGACTACCTGTACAGAAGGTTGATTGCACAGTCTTAGTAAAGGGTTCAAAAGTTTTGGATGGAGATTGAATTGCACTCCATCATGATCTGCTGAATTTAGCTCAGTTCCAGCTGATCAAATAAAAGATGGCTATAGTTAAAGGATTGGCTGTCAAACCTCTGCGTGCTGCAAAAGAAAATGGGCTCACATGCTCTGGTCACCGTGTTTTTATTTTTCTTATTTGCATGTTTTCAATTTATCAATTTAGTCTTCTCTTTATGTCTGCTCACTCTAAGTGATTTATAACTCACAAATTGAATTGAAAAGATTTAAAATATTTAAAAATAGTAAACCAGTTTCTTCATTAACCTCTTTCCCATAATTTCAGGTTACCTTTCTCTAATTGCACATGCCTATTTCCCATATTTTTTCTATTTGCTGCCTTCTGACATGTACTAGTCAGAAAACTCAAACTAAGGAAAGCTTAATGTTAATTAAGCAAACTTTACCTCCATTGATTTGTTTAATTTCTTTCCTGGGCGTGTGAATTGGGATTTCATTGCCTCAGTGAAAACAAAACGAACAACTGCTTTTACTACATTTCTCTTGTAAAATCTGTGTTATATTTCACTTCTATTTTAATCTTTAAGCTTTCTTCTATGACTCCCATTCAACTTACTTCAACATTTGAATTTAGATGGAACGTGTTAGTGTTCCTGATTAAGATT